GGCGGGGGCGGAGGGTGGAGGTTAGAAATAGGGACGGGCGGGCCGCTCCAGTCGTCGAGCCGCGCGGAGCCAACCTGAGCCACGCTAAACGGTGCCGAGCGAGGCGGCAGGACCCGAAGCACCCATGCTGCTGACGCTGGCCTGGGGCTCCCTCTTCTTCCCTGGGCTTTTCGCGCTCTGCACCTGGGCGCTGCGCCGCTCGCGGCTGGAATGGACCGACACCGACTACGTGACGATCAGCACCAGGTACGCGGTGCGTCCGGGCTGCTAGTCCAGGGCTTGGGTGCTGCCCTCCCCACCCGGCCGCGCGCGGCTGCAAGGCTCCCGGGCCCGGCGGCGACCGCCCCTGCGCTAGACTGAGGGCGGAAAAGGGGGGCGACAGGAAGCGAGGGGGCTCCCTCCCTCACTTCCCTGCTCCTGCCCCTCCGTGTTGCGCCTGCCAGAGTTTCCCGAAGACCCTTTGCGTGAAGAGAGAGGGGACAAGGGCGGAGGACTGTCCACGCGTGTCAGGAGGGAATGTGTGTGTATCTTTTGGAGCCTGCTGCTCACATCTGCCAGTGCTTTGTGGGGGTCGCAGGGCCCAGCGGCCGCCTTACCATTTTCCTCCGCCCAGGAGAAAGTTGAAGAGTTTGGCTTTATGCTGTCCGCAGTACTAGATGGAGCGCGCTTTCTTTCATTTTTCTTCTCTGTCCCACTTTAGGTTGGTTTCTTCAGTGCAGGCTGTGCTGGCCACGGGGTCAGGGATCATCATCATCCGCTCCTGTAGCGACGTGATCAGAGACAGGTAACATCTATTCTCCGGTGAAAGAAGTATAACAGGGTTGGGGAACTTTTTTTCCAGTTTTCAAATTGTAGTGGCTCACAGGCACCAGTTGTTTATAAAACATGCTGTTAAGTGGATGACTGGTGGGAAATCTCAGGCACCATAATTAGTGCCTTCCCCCTCTCCTTGTTCTTTAAGCATCCCGGGTTTAGGAGAAAAGAAATTGAAGTTTAAACTAAGAAATGCTAGAGAGCAGCAGAGTCTGAGTCTGATTGGAGGTGGCATTGGAGAACAGTATGATTCAAGTTCTTTATAAGTGTGAAAATTATTTAGAAGTAGGAGTATGATTTTTAGTGCTTTTAAATGATCTCAGTGGGTTCTTAACTCTGGAGTATGCATTAGCAGAGATAAGTGCAAGTGCAGTTAATAAGGTCCCTCCTATTGACAGGGGAAAAAAAAATCCACCTCTCCCCCTTTCCCTGCAGATGCTGCTCTTGACTTTCCTTTGGATTTGCTAAAGGTGATGAAGAGGTTTCTGGTGTCTTCAGAATACTGACTTGTATGTCTGTTAGAGCTCAATCTAGAGGCAGTTCAGGAATGTGCGTCCATGTGCAGCTTCAGTGAGAGAAATAATAAATTAAGGCCAGAATGGTCTATTTTCTTCAGTATTATTTACATCTGGGCAATGATGGCACTTTTTAAAAGGCCATTGTTTTCCACCTGTGTTTTAGAATCATTGTCACTTTCTCCCAGTTAAGTTGAAAGGGCTGGGAATGTGGATGTGGCTTGGTGGTAAGGTGCTTGCCTAGCATGTGGGAGGCTCTAGGTTAAATCCCCAGAGCCCACACATGCACATGCACATGCACGCACACACAGCCAGTTAAATTGAAGAGTGATAATCAGATATGCAGGGAAAGTTTGACAGCCTTTCCTGATTCTTCTCTGACTATGCCAATTCCTGCTTCTCACCTGTTAAGACAGGAAATGCAAGGGGTGAGTAAGGCATCTCTGTCACCATGACCTGCAATCTTAATTGTGTTTGCTCCTGCTGTGAAGATTTTCATGTTTTTCTTCTTATGCCTCTTTTTAATCAAAACCAATTATTGGTACTGAATTATAGATGCTAAGAGAAGATGGGGCCAAGTGACCTTCACTGCATATGCCAAAGGCTAACGGCATTTGTTGGACTTGGTTCAGTTTTTATTTTAAATTAGCATTTTCTGATCATGCAGCAAGTTCCTTCCTGCCTGCAGTTTATCAAATCAGCTTGAAACCTGCCTCCTCTGCAAAGATTAAACTAACATAAAGGTAGCCTCTAGTTTGAGTTAACTAGTTAACATGAGGAGCAGCGCAGCAAGCAAACACTAGGTGTTTCAAGAAAAGCTATTCACACATGATTAACTTACAGTTCTGAAACACCATGGTGGTTCCCCCCTACCCCTGTCAGAATCTGAGTAATTTAGGGGCTTAGGCATATTCAGTAGCAAAAATGGGTTTGGATTTTAGATTCTATATTTTATGTATCTTTATGCCTTAGATTGTTTGCAAAGTAGAGTGACACATTTCTATTCCCTCTATCTCTGCATGGGTGCACAATTTGTGCTAAGGGCACCTAGATCTATCTCTCTCTTTTTCCCCCTCCTTTTGTGGTACTGGACATTAAACCCAGAGACCCTCTACCACTGAACCACACCTCCAGCTCTCATTATCTTATTTGAGACAGGGTCTTGCTAAGTTGCTAAGGCTGACCTTGAGCTTGGGATCCTCTTGCTTGCCTCAGCCTCCTGAGTTGCTAGGATAAACAGGTGTGCATTACCATATCTGGCTTAAATCATCTTTTAAAAAGACCATTGAGGATTCTTAGATCACACACCCAAATATTTTTCTATTACTTGCTTTCCCAATCTATACTTCATACAGAATGTCTATAGATGGGAGGGAGAATCTATCCATTTCTCAAAATTGTGTACAGAGTATGGTATGAGGCCAAGAATTTAATCAGATTTCTTATACGGCTCTAGATCCTTACATGGGCTGCCATAGCTTTAGGCAGTTTTCCTCATTGAAGCTCTTATATTTGAATAGTACCTTTTATACTGAAAAATACTTATAGGGCTGGCAGTGTAGCTTAGTAGTAGAGTGCTAGCCTAGCAAGTGTGAGGCCCTGTTTTTTTGTTTGTTTGTTTGTTTTTGTTTATTTTGGTTCTAGAGATTGAACCCAAGGGCACTTAGCCACTGAGCCACATCCCCAGCCCTTTTTATTTTTTGAGGCAGGGTCTCACTGAGTTGGTTAAGGCCTCACTTAGTTGCTGAGGCTGGCCTTGAACGTGCAATCCTCCTGCCTCAACTTCCCAAGCCACTGGGATTATAGTGTAAACCACCACACTGGTGCGGCCCTGGGTTTGATCCTCAATATGCAAAAAATAAAAGGACTTCCCTAGTTTTCATTTTTTAATCCTCACAGTGATTGTCAGGAAAGTTAAGACGAGGATTATTGTCTTCATTTTACAAAGAAAAGTCCCAGGCCAGTTGTATTTAAGATTATAGTCTAGCTATCTTGCTAATAAGTCTTCAGGGAATTCTACTGGAGAGTCACAATTTTAGATCTTCTTGAATTGGTACTGGGTGCAAAACATTAAAACTCCAGGTTCCATTCAAGGGGAAAGGCCAGTTAAATTTCAGTCAACCTTTTAGTAGTTCTTGTCATCATTTTACTTCTAATTGCTTCAAGAAAGCAACTGAGACCATAAATAGGCAGAATGAGTATTTTGCCTTTTGCCCACATGGAACCTGGCTAATTAATTCACCTGCAAATGAACTTTATTTTTCATTAGTACTAATTTGCATCTACTCATAGTTTATTGATTAGTTATGCTGTGGTGTGGAGTCATTCAGGAACATTTGAAGTGCATGTGACACCCTCTGTATATTCCCAGGGTTGCAATTCAGTGGACTGACTCCTTAGAAACTCACCTGAGACTAGATTAAAAATACAGATTTGAAGCCCTAGGCATATAATTTAGAAACTCTGGGGAAGTGGGTCCCTTAATAAGCACTACAGGTGATTCTGATGGTCAGGTAGTTTGAAATTCGTTTTCTTCTACCTAACACATGGGTGTTTAATAAAAAATTTGCTGAGTGAATCTAATCCTTCCCAGCATAGTATATGAATTCAATTTCAATTTTTTTAAAACACAAAAATTCTGTAGAAGGTTTATATTAACTGCTGAGATTTTTTTCCTTCTAATATACTCTAGAAGTAATAAAACTACCAGTTTGATTTCACAAATATTGACTCAATCCTATTAGACAAACAAATGAGAACACTGACTTACCCCAGCCCCTCTCCTTTTATTTCTGCTGTAATGTGGTCTTTGGGCTCCAAACTCATTTCCAGGCATGCTTTCTTAGCCAGTGAAACTGGGATTAGCTATAGAATTGTAAAGAAAATGGCCAGGATTTCTTCCCAGAAACTCCCTAGACTGGGGTTGCATGCAGATGACAGAGAAACTCATAGGCTTTAAGTTGGAAAACTCCCAACTGTTGAGCAACTGAGGAGTTAAACTGGAAAGATTGGATTTGTGATTTCGAATACCTTCTAAACAGGGTTCTTGGTGGGGCTATTGAATCATTTGTGAATTTTTGTATATTAAAGTCAGCTTTTATCACAAAATGCCAGAAATCCATTATAGATGAGTAACTAAATCAAGCAAATGATGACAGCAGTTACTTGAACACACGAGGCTGAAAGAATTCCTACTTTTTGCTTTTGACTCTCATGAATTTGCCCTGTAATTTAGAGAAAGTTGTCCACTCTCATTTATCAGTTTCAACATCTTCCTTGTAGTGTTTAGAGTAATAATCTGATTAAGTACAAAGCTGAAGGGAACATGTTTGGGAAGAGAATTGGCTCAGAGCCTTCCTAATTGACATCCATAATTATTTCACAGACCATCCATATGTTTTCTTTCAGGCACTGGCTTGCCCGAGAATATGTCTGGTTTTTGATTCCATACATGGTCTATGACTCCTACGCCATGTACCTCTGTGAGTGGTACCGAACCAGAGACCTTGGACACTCCACCACTATTCGAAACTTCCTGAGTCAAAACCGCCTCATGATCACACACCATGCAGTCATTTTGTTTGTCCTTGTGCCTGTCGCACAGGTATGGCCTTAGAGGACAGCAGCTGTGGTCGCTCATTTTCTCCTGTTGAACTGGGTATCTTGACCATTACTGGGTATTTTGAAAAAAGAGAGGATTGCCCTGTTAAATCTGAAGTGTTTGTGATCTTCCTTACCAACAGAGTCTTTTAGGAGTCTTCCAGCTTTCTGGATTCCTTGGCATTTGTCAAAGGTTCTGTTTTTAGTTAAATACGGTGTAAAAATGATTTAAAATTCAAATATAAAACTAATAATAATAGTACCAGAGCATACTGTGTGCAGTGTTCTCATGTCACAGAAACAGACTATTCAAAGCAAATGACCTCATAATGGCTATCCAGATCCATCTTTCTATTAAAAATCTATTCAAAAAGGAACAGAAATGGGAATGCATCGAGAAATTCAAAATTTTATTCCAAAAGTGCCTACCAGGTGGCACACACTTATTTAAGAGTTTACAGCTTGCTAAATATTAGAAACTATAAGCTGTATACCATAAATGAAGAAACAAGGGCTCTGAGTTTACTTATGTCATTCAGTGGTACTGAATGACAGCAGGTATTTTACTGTTAGAATATTCTGAAAAAGAAAGATAAATTACATTAAGTTTTTTTCTTTTCTTTTTTTGGTACCAGGGATTGAACTCAGAGGTGCTTAACCACTGAGCCACATCTCAGGCCATTTTATTTTTTTGAGATAAGGTCTCATTAAGTTGCGTAGGGCCTCACTGAGTTGCTGGGTCTGGCCTTGAGCTTGTGATCTTCCTGCCTCAGCCTCCTGAGACACTGGGATTATAGGTGTGCACCATCACACCTGAGAGCATTACTTTCTTTAAGGAGTCTTCTCTTAATTGCTTTGAGACCCCACCATGTAGCACATACTTTGTTGAGATGAACAGGCTCAGTACCCTTGCACAACTAAGTTAGATACACAAAAGTAGGCTACAGAGTTCTTCCAGGTGTCATTGACATTCAGAGAAAGATTGCATCCTATCTGAATTTGCCTCTGGATCCCAGAGATTGGGCCATCAAAGTGCTATTGCTATGGAAGCAGCAGAATATTAACTGGATCTACACTTGCCTATTTAGCATTTCTTTTCCCTTCATTGTCTCTCATTGAAAAAATAGCCCTACTTAGAATTTTCCTTCCAGTGGTTTCTTAACCTCCACTACTTATTTCCTTTTTTCCTTTCATCCACAGAGGCTCCGGGGAAACCTTGGAGACTTCTTTGTTGGCTGTATCTTCACAGCAGAACTGAGCACTCCCTTTGTGTCACTGGGCAGAATTCTGATTCAGGCATGTATGAGTGAAATGACAAAAATAGTTTAGGTGGGAACAGACTTTGCTTTTCCTTTGGAGATTGTTGGGTTTGAAGAAATCTGTTAAAGCCAAGTATAGTGGGATAGGATGTCCTTTAACAAACTTAAAGGTCAGTTGGTCATTCAGGCCTATAGAGATGAAATTGTAGATTTGACCAAAGTTTGGGACAGTTCACTATATGTTTTCCTTGATCAGATTGTTCTAATCCACTTTTCCCGTGACCCCATTAGCTGGGTGGCTTAGGCCAAATTTAATATCACTATTGAGAAAACTATAAGGCTCTATGTGTGTATTAATACAATAGTGCTCAATAATCTTTTCTGTGTTAAAAAACTAGATGCATGTGTGGGTGTCAAGGAATTTAATAGTCTGGGTCTTGAATGGTTCATTTACCACTGGGAGACTTGGGCTAGTGGCTCCCTGAGACCTCGCCTCTTGGTTGCCCTTCATTCTGCTTCTCTTTCTTTTTCAGCTAAAGCAGCAGCACACTCTCCTGTACAAGGTGAATGGAATCTTGACGTTGGCCACCTTCTTCTGCTGTCGGATCCTTCTTTTTCCGTTCATGTACTGGTCCTATGGTGAACACCAGGGACTAAGCCTACTCGAGGTGCCATTCAATATCCCTTTTTACTGCAACGTGGCCAATGCCTTCCTCATCGCTCCCCAGCTCTACTGGTTCGCTCTGCTGTGCAAGAAGGCAATCCGGCTCTTTGGTGCCCGAGCCAAAAAGGATAGTTAATTGCTCCCACAAGTCAGGCAATGAGGGCACCTCATCACACTAGCTGCCTCCTCAATGCAGTATTCCATGGACCAAACTGTGCCCTGTGTGGCCTCTGGCATTTGGGGATTGATAAGCAGACGGATTTGAGATTTTCTAAAAAATATTCCTATTACCTCCTCCTTCTAACCTGCCCTTTTGCAAAAGCACTTTTTTCTTGGTTACACAACTATTGGATCTTGTCAGACCTTCATTGGCAGCAAGGTGGCTTTAATTACAAGCCTGAGGATTCTTCCTTGGTTCTTATCTCAAGAGTTCTGGGAAGTCAACTCATGGAATGTGAAGATTGATGGACCAGGTTAATCAGTGCCTGGGCACCCACCTTTCCAACCACTCAGGGTAATATCCACAGTACTGGGCCAGCAGAAGCAAGGGATGACTTGGTTCTTGAAATAATGTATTCTTGCAGTGTTGGCCTGGGAAAATCATCGTGGGTATGTAGTTTTTTATTGTTTACTACGTAGCCCATTACTGTCCTTTGCCTCATCTCTCATTTGTGTCAACAAGGAATTCTTTTGTTTACTGACTTCCAACCACAAGTTTCACTTGGCAGTGGGTAGGACGCAGGGCTGGGAATGTGAAGCACTTAAGTGGGTCTGGAGGCAGTAGAAGTCAGCAGGACGTTTACAGGCTGACTTGGTAGAAAAACCAGGCTCATACTTATGAGCTTGTTGCAAGAAGTCACAAGTACTGTTCCCCTTTTAGCATGACCCCTCATGCACAGCTTTCCCTATTTCTGTATGTATAGGATGCTTTCATAAAAACTAGAGGGGCAAAGTGAAATGATCGTCCCAGTAGCTATTTACTAGGTAATTCCATCTGACAGTCCTTTTCCTATAAAGTGGAAATGGACTTCTATACTCCAAACCAAGGAATGTCTCATCCTAGACCATAGAGTACTTTTCCCAGAGCCTCCCAAGAAGCCAGAATCTCTTTCCATTTTGAGTATACTGCCATTTAGCTCTAGAGGCTAGCGAGTAAGAGGGCAGCCAGCCTGGCCAAAGCACGACCTATAGATCGACCCCTTCACCCCCATTTGCAAATAGGATTCTCTGGTGCCAACACTAATCATTCCTTATCAACTGAGATGGGTTTCACTCTGCTACCATGACTTTTTTCAAGTGGTAGTAAAAATCTAGACTTTTTAAAAGTGCCTTTTAATTCATTGTCCATGAACTTTAAAGGACTGAATATGTCTCCAATTTTGACTGTTTCAGTCTTGAATAGGTGCCATTTAAAATGTAAAATGCTATGGGTTTTTGTTTTTTACTATCAAAATATGTCATCCATATGGTGATTAAATTGCACTAATTTCCCACTTTATTGTCCTTTGTGAAATATATCAATACTGATTTCCTGTTAGAACCGTCCTGTGACCTCACTTGATTGCTGTGTGCTATTGTTCCTGCGATTCATGCTCACATCACTAGCAATGTGTGCTGATGCTTTTAGCCTCCAGGAGGGCTTTGCTCATATTTTTAACATGTTGGTTTTTGGTCCTAAGAATACACTGAAGGTGCCTGAGTCAAGCCCAGTGGTGACATTTAACTTTAGGTCTTTTCTTCTCTACATAGGTGAATCTCAATGCGTTCGGAGTGGAAGCCTGATTTTTGGTCACAAAGTTTACTCTAGGTGGGGGAAAGAACCTGATTAAGTGCCCCCTTTTGAATGAGGGTATGGATATGCAGGAGGTGAGGTACATCTACTTTTCTCTCTCATCTCCCCAACCAGTTATTATCATTCTTCAATAATAACTTATAAATCTTACATTCTAAGTTTTATGCTTCTGCACACACTGTTCCCTGATTTCATCCGTCAAAACCAGGATACCACTACTTTAGGCAGAAAGTAATTATACCCAACATCTAAGCACATCTCTGCTGTCACCAGACCTGGCCTTAGCATAGTCCCTTCTGAGCATGCTAAATGATGGGAATTAGGACTCTGACAGATCTCTGGGTAGAATCCATGAGTTTATGGTCAATGATTTATCCCCTTAACACTTAAGTTTTTCTTATTCAGTCCTTTCATTTTTCAAAAGTGCAGGCCTCTTAAGGACACACATCACAGGGCCAATCAGAGGCAGAGGCAGGGCTAGTTTTCCCAAGTTGCCACCCTTTCCAAGATAGCTCATGAAAAATATCAAATGTTGAAATGGCTCTTGAAAAAGGAGACTTTCAATATCAAAAATAATAATAATAATAATAATAATAATACACACACTTAGATGAAACTCAAAAGAGAATTTTATTAGTCTGTATGTTATAAATACCTAAGAAACTATTTTCTTTACACTGTTATTGCCATATACCTTTTATCTTGTGTACAATTTCACATAACTATAGTTTGTGTTTCTCAGCTCTAGGCCCTCTAGAACTACCATGTTGTGGCCCAGCTTTTTTTCTGACCTACACAAGTCAGAAGTTGCTGATCTTCTGCAGCAGGGTCTGGCGCCGCTCCTTGGGGCTAATGTTCTCAGCAATGGATGATAAGAAGCGCTGTTCATTTACCTTTTGGAGCAAGGAGCTAACAGAGGGGTTGGTCTTGCTCAGTGTTTCATAACAGGTGAGGATTTCCAAGGCTAACACGTAGAGTGGTTCACAGACCTCTTGGTGCAGCATGGCCATGATGTGTAGAACATGACAGAACACCTGGGTATAAACAAACAGGCTTTCCTGGGTCAGGTCCTGGTCTTGTCCTTGAGCCCAAGGACCAACCGACTGTATCAACCTAACTGAGTCCAGAAGGTTGGTCAGACTGCTACAGAGGAGTTTGACCACATGGCTCCAGCCATCTATAGGAAGCCAGTTACGACAGCTCTGGCTGCAGAGAAACTGGAAAGCTCTCAGGAAGAGCACAGAGAGTTGGAGCTCTTGGGCAAAGGGCTTCAGGTTGAGCAGGGGAACAAACTGAATATATTCCAGGCTGTAAGGGACATGTAAGAGCTGTTTCTCCAATAGTCTCCTGGTCAACTGGTAAAGGTACTGCCAATCCTTGGGGCTGCACCAAGGCATGATCTGCACTAAGGCCACCAGAAAGCCCTTGCTGAACAATCTGACCTCCTCAGGATTGCCCACGTCCACCACCAGAAGAGAGAGCATCTGCTCAGAGACACTGCTGGAAATGTAGCAGCATTCCATCCAAGCAAGAAGCCCTGTGCCAGGCCCATACCCTGGGTGGGCCTGGGAGGTCCACTCAGCCTCAGAAAGCTTACAGATCTCAAAAAGTGTGGCTGGCACCTCACACTTGAAGTGGCCCTCAAAGAAGTTCTTCAGTCTCAGGCTTATAGTCCAGTCTAGCTGTTCCATTTTCCTGTGGAGCCAGGAGAGGGACTTGATCCAGGTATCTGGGGAGAGGGTCTCAGCATTGGCTAATACAGTTTCACAGAGGAGGTCTAGGATATGGATCACCAGATCCTTCCCATCCAGAGAGAGGCACCGTTTCTCTTGGGGGAATTGCCAATATTTGCTGAAGCTATCTAGAAGCTGGCACAAGCTGAAGATGAGGGGGAATGGGGAACAGGTCTGGAGCCAATATTCCTCTAAGCCCATATTTGCTTCTAGGGTTTGGATGAAGATCTTCAGACTGAGGTCCACCTCTTCAACATCCAGCATCAGGAAAGGCAGGACAAATGCCTTCAGCACCTCATCTGGCTCAAGAAGAGCAGCAACTGGAATCCCCTGGGGCTTCACAGGACTCATCAGGCAGCTCAGGAGCTCCAAAAATTGCTTTTCTTCCTTGGGTGTAGAGAACTTTGTCCAGACAGTTTCTTTGAGGCAGGATACCAAAAAAGTGGTGGGTGAATTAGGACCTTGCTCTTCTGTGAACCTAAGGGCAGGGAAGGCAGTGAGAATCTGTGCTAGGAACCTGTGGGTACCAAGGTTGATCACAGCCATGCTGCACATCTTTTTCACTGTGACTTCTGGGTACAATATTACCAGGCGGGCCACAGAGGCAACAGCTTTAGCCAAGCCCTGTTCAGAGGCACTCTGCGTAAGCTGGTTAAATGTTGTATTTAGGTCTTCCTGAAAACCTTCCAAATAAGCCGACAACCTTTCAGAGAGGCCTTTTCGCCCCCAGCAATGCAGGACACCTGAGAGGACTTTATTTTTGTCTGGTAGAGAGAGGTCTGCATAGCATTCCAGGATTAAGATGATCACCTGTTTGATCTGAGACTGGGGGATGACTCTCTCGGTCGTGCTGACTTCCATTACTGTTTCCAACAGCCTTAAAACTAAGTCTGGCTCTTGGAAGAGAGCCCTGTTGTTTACCAGGCAGGCTACCCACTCATCTGAGAAGGCCCACTTCTTCTCAGAAGCAAAAATATAGCACATTTCCATGTGTCGGTCCATCTTCTGCTCAATAATGGCCATGGCAATAGAGGCAGTAATGTCCTCGTCCTTGAACCCTTTTTTGTTCAGTACCCTGCTGGTTTTCCTCAGGAAATCCTTGACGCACTCTGCCAGCTCAGAGACCACCTGCCTCTCCTCCTTAGACAAGCTAGTGGTATCCAGGTAGAGCTTCAAATTCTGGCTGAGGGAAGTCAGACTTTCACATAGCCGGAAGCTATCGTAATTTGTCCCCTGGCTGCTGTTGAGCATGACCTGTAGCTCTTCTCCCCACTCCTGCAGCAGACTGTGCATGAACTCAAACCCCACAAAACTGGTTTCGCTGGGGAGTTTGGCCAGTGAGGTCAGGCTAACATCCCGCTCGGCCTCCCTTATTTTCTCTGCCAGAGCCTGTTGGTGATATGGGTTCTGAGTGTCTGAATTCCACACAGAAATCACTGTGGCCAGTTTGTCCAGATACATGACTGCAGACACTTCCTGGGGGTCATCTTCCATCAGTGCAAACACAGTCAGCATGTCAGCTAAGTTGGCTAATGCATAACACTTCATCCCAAGGGACAGGATTCTGTCTTGAATTTGCTTCAGTCCATTAAGTAACATGGCCAATAGGGGCATGGTCGGACACACATCTGGGTCCGACTTAAACCTCTTTGGAGGATGAGAGAACTCATCTGAAGAAGGTAAGTACTTATGGGCCATTGTCCTAAATTGGGAGAGGAGGGGGTCCTGCTTATTGTCCTTGTGTTTCATCAATTCCCACCAGACATCGAGGAAGAAGGACACATCCCTGGAAGAAGTATCAATAGTCATGTGCTCCAAAAAGTGCTCTAGTTCTGTGCGACAGATGGTGGTGGGCAGGGCCATCAGAAGTTGGATGAAGAGCCCAGAAGCTTCTAAGGACTTGAGCAGCTCAAAAAGGACTGTGTGATTAATAGTAGGAATCATGTTGCCCACTGAGAAGAACACATCTTCCTGCCACCGAATTTCAGTGTCAGAAGGGCTAACAGGACAGGGCTGAAGGACCTTGGCCCAGATGATGATCAGAGCTTTCTTCTTCCAGGCAAAAGGCTGAGAATGTGCTGAGGCAGAAGAGATTTCCCTCAAGGCCTCCACAATGGGTTGTCCAACATGTTCCCAGTCAGACTTTGTCATTTCTGCCAATGCTTTGGGGCGAAAGAGCTGCTCAGCCAGCAAGAAGCCCCCATGCAGGATAGTCATTTCTTCACAGATATTCAAGGGTCCTGCACAGAAGGACGAAAAATAAGAATGTAAAGTTTTCAAAATAGTAAGCAGAGCCGAGAGAGGCAGCACTTATTAGGCTGGCTGTCATTATCAAGGTTAGAAGGGATAAGGACTTTCAGTGACCTTGGTGGAAGAGGAGGAAAAAGGGATGGTTGTAAAAGCCACTGCAGTCATTAGGGCTTAGTTGAGGAATAAAAAAATGACTTCCAAGCTGCCTACACTGGGAACTGTAAGGATGATGGATACTATAGCAAATAAGGAATAGAGAATGAGAACAGGTTTAGAGGGAAGACAAGGTCAGACTTGGTTACTTGGAGTCTAACATGGAACATAAAGGAAGTCTTCCAGCAATGGCAATGCAAGGTTGAAGCTCAAGGTGAGTCTGAAAGGTATCTGCCCAGAAGGGCTAACAAAAACCAAAGTAAATGAGATCCCTCAGGAACAGCATGAAAAGGAAAAGTTGGACTACTGAGGCCAGACCCTCCCACAAAAGGCAGGCCTACATATTTGGGGAGAAGGGTATAGATAAGAGACAGCGGTGAACTACAGAGGCCACAAAATGTGTATTATAGGACGTGACAACTTCTCAGTGATGATTCAGACTAAGAAGGCCACAAAGCTTCTGGCACAGAAACAGACAAGCCCAACCTTTCCTCTTTTTTTTCTCACAGCCTTGCCAATAGGTTTCAAACATTCTCCTCCCTTTTAGAGAAACAGTTCACCCGGGAGCTTTTTCCAGTCAGAGGACAAGTTATTCATGGGCCTAAGAACTTCTGTGGCAGAAACTGGTGGGTAGATAGAAGGGTCAAATACTAGTTTGGACATTCAAATGCGATGTGGCCTAAGAGTTAACTTCTTTGATCTTCCCCTGTACAATATAGTCTTCATGATATAACTAAAGATCAAATGAAAATGTACAAGTTGAGTCCTGGGCATTGGGTTGGTGCTATTTTCTCCTGATCCCGTCTCTGAAGGATGGGAGAAGGTATGGGTTAAATAAAATACAGTAAAAATCAGGCTATTGGGAGCCTGAATAACATGCCATAAATGTTCGTCTCCCTTGGCCGGGTGCAGTAATCCCAGTGGTTCAGGAGGCTGAGGCAGGAGGACTGCAAGTTCAAAACCAGCCTCAGCAAAAGTGAGGCATAAGCAACTCAGTGAGACTCTTTCTCTAAATAAAATACAAAATAGGGCTCCAGATGTGGCTTTGTGTCAAGTGCCCCTGAGTTATACCCCCCAAAAATGTTGGGTCTCCCCAAAACCCTTCTGTTGTTGGTAGGACCAGAATCTTTGCCTTCCCCAACTCAAAAACATGAAAGAACACCAGACACAGTGGCACACACCTGTAATCCCAGAGACTCTGGAGGCTGAGGCAGGAAGATTGAAAGTTCAAGATCAGCCTCAGCAACTTAGTGAGACCTTGTCTCAAAATAGAAAAGATGGGGTGTGTTTCAGTGGTTAAGAAACCCTGGTTTAATCCCCAGTACCAAAAAAAATATATATATATGGAAGAATATAGGTCTTTATTAAGTGTTTTCTTTGGCCTAAAAACCAAATCAGAGTGCAAACACAGCTCACTGGTGTTCTCAACTCCTCTTCCCTTTCCCAGGCCCCAGAGATGTATTCTTTCCTCAGTCTCTCATGCTCCCGGTAGCACATCTTCCCCATTTTCACAGTCTAGGAGTCAGTATTAAAAATACTGACTCTAGGGCTGGGGTTGTGGCTCAGAGGTGGAGCGCTCACCTAGCACATGCGAGGCCCTGGGTTCGATTCTCAGCACAACATAAAGATATTGTGTCCAACCAAAAAATAAATATTAAAAAAAAAATACTGACTCTAGGGTAGCTCAGTGGTAGAGCACTTGCCTAGCATGTGTAAGACACTGGGTTTGATTCTCAGCACCACATATAAATAAAGGTCCATTAACAACTAAAAATACAATTTAAAAAATACTGATTCCAGAAAACTAAAGGCTATCTTGCCCTACCAACAATTTAGGGAAGCACAAAAGCCAAGGATCAGCACTCCTATGCAACTCACTTGTGAAGTCAATCCATTCTGGCTCCTAGTGGGGAGTTAGACTTCTAAAGGTGTCTGAGAGTTACGGTCCTTCTTTCTGGCTCAGGTTGCTCCTTCAGAACCCCAAAATACATTCCCTCATAACTGTAAATTAAATTTTACTGCACTATCATTACAGTTGAGCAGATGCTTGGGTCCCAACACCTGCCTTCCAGACACTAACTCTTGGGAGCAGTTATTAGCTGGGAGAACTCCAAGTACTTTATTACTAATAGGTGACTGGTACTTGTGAATGTCCACTACTTATGTTTACTAAGTGTTTGTTTATTCTGGCAGGCACTGTGCTAGTGGTACATGTGTAAGATCTTTAAATCTTCAAAACATCCTTTTGAGAATTACTGTTCCTATTTTAGAGATGGGATCATTGAGACTCAGGCAAAATTTGCTCAGGATGTCACAACCACAGTAGTGGGGCTGAGACAGAAATCATCACAGTTGCACTGCTCCAAACTCTTCCCGCTGCCATTCCACCACTGAAAAGCTGGCTGAGGACAGGGTCCACATTTCTCCACAGCTGACTATGATTGGCACATATTGGGGGTACCTCACATTCCTCCCCTCTCCCGCAGAATACCCTCTTTATCTTCTTAAGAATATAACCGGCGGGGTGGGGAGGTTTGGCAAGGAGCCAAATGATATCTATCTGCTCTGTAAACTCACCACTTTTTCCAGGCCTTGCCTATGAAGACTATCAATTGCTCGCAGGTTCAAAAAGTGCCACCTCAGCGGATGTAACCCCTCCTCACAACTGTTAGCGCTGCTGTGCACAAAGCACGGTACCCAACACTATATACACGTGGTTGCAATGAAAACTCCCCCCAAACTCTAGGAAGACAGAGTCTTCAACCCCGCTTTAACGAAGAGGAGACCTGGGGTGGGGACATTTGCTTAAGAACTTAGTCCACGTTCAGTAAATCAGACTATAAGAACATCCATGATTCCCGGGGCCAGGTCACCGGCATTTTCCAAAGCACGTGCACTAACCCCGTCTGTTTTCAGGGGCTCCAGCTTCACAGCCGCTCGGGTTTTTCCCATGATAAGAGGGCCAGAACAGAAAAGAGGGCCGCGGAGCCCCAGCTATAGCTCGGCCTCCCGACCCCAGGTCTCCAAGGACACCTCCTGGCCCTCAAACCCTTCCCCAGCCTGAGGTTTTCTTGGGCCCGGGCCGCGCGGGAGTGCGCCGTGGGAAGAGTGTGCAAGGACACCCCTCCCTAGGGGAGCATTGCGGGGCGCCGCCGGGGCTGACCGGGACAGGGGAGCCGGGAACCCACCTAAGTCCATGGCGGCGACACCGGTGGCAGCAAGGGCCGCCCCTCCCCCTCCGAAGGAGCGAGTTCCGCGCCGACGCGACGGCACAATGGGCGGAGCCACAGGCCCCGCCCAAGGCCTCAGTTCTACTCCTGCGCTGACCGCCTGCTGTTCCCCGCGCACGCGCGCTCCTCACCAACCAGCTAGCGGCGCCAAGGCTGTCAAGCGCACAGCTCCCCCTCTCGGCCCCAGGCCTCTCCCCAGCCAACAGGCCGGTACCATCTGCACAGTCCCCTGGCCCAGTCCTGTTTCCTGTGTGCAGGAGGTCTGTTAGTTCCTGGCCCGGCATTCACCCTAAGCCAGGAACCCTGGGTAGCTCCGACACACAGTTCATTCACACTGAATGCCCTTCCTGGGCTGCCCACCAACCAGCACACTCAGGTCACAGAGGCTTCCTCCCTGCGGTGGGTCCCAGGGTCTCATATTCTGAGCTTCACAGACACTAACCCAATCGCCTTCAATGTTCTTCATACCATACTGCTCCTCAGGACAGCAGCACACCGCTGCTTAATTTTCCGGGATCATAGAACATTCCCCCACCTCGCCCTCTGGTCCTAAAGATGGAACACAGGAGCTCTCTGCCACTGACCTATATCCCCAGCCCTTTTTATTTTGAGTAATTCTCCCTAATTTGTCCAGACTGGCCTTGAACATGCAATCCTCCTGCCTGGGCCTCAGGATTACAGGCAAGTGCCACCACATTTGGCTCACAGAGGCCTTTGAAACTTTGATGGGTAGTCCTCCCCAGAAAATGAACTGTGGGCAGATCCAATCCAGTGGACTTCTAGTTTTCAGTCTGTACTTCATAAAAAACACAAATGTCCTCTGTTCTTCCCACATTGTCTCCTTTCCCCCCCCCCTCTTCCCAAGATCTAATCATCAGCCTCATGTGTTTACAACTTTCCACCCTCCAGCTTTTAGCACCAGATATCATCTAGAAGGACAGAAGCACCCAGCTTCAGGTACTCTAATATGCAAGTGGAGTTTGAGTTCGCCTGTGCTGCGATCAAGCAGCTGAAACGTCCTGTGAGCGATCAGGATAAACTGCTGATATACAGCTACTACAAACAGGCCACTCAGGGTGACTGCAACATCGCTGCCCCTCCTGACTCAGATGCAAAAGCTAAAGCAAAGTGGGAGGCATGGAACGGGAACAAAGGGATGTCCAAGATGGATGCCATGAGGATCTATATTGACAAAGTGGAAGAGCTGAAGAAAAATGAGGCTGGTTAAGGACACTTGAACAGACAAAAGGAAAATAGCATAACTCCTCTGGTAGGGAATGGGCTTCTTAAAAGACCCTGATGGCTGAAATGTCCTGAAAGGGGGTACCTAGGTTAGCTGAGACATCAATAAATTACTGAAACTGCAAGAGAGTGAGTGACTGCTTTAGGAAAAGAGAAACTCAGTGACTGTGACAGTCCTGGGGAGGTATCCAAATGTACGAAAGACATCCCTCCTCTAGGTAAATTCAAAGTGGCTTTTTCTGTAGTTTTGAATGCCATTCCCAGTCTTCCTATTCCCACAGCATATAGATATTTGGCAGCAGACAGGATGGAAGAGGATGGAGAATCATGTTGTGAAAATGTCCAAGGTTGGAGGTAAGTGACCATTCTCCACTGATTTGGTCTCTGAGGGGGCTGGGGACCCTGGGGCCCCACCCTGTATCTTTTCAGGGAATGCCAACTCACCAATAACCTAACACTAGGGAGGAGAAAGGGACTCTGTCTTCCAGAAAGCGAAAGTCAAGTCCAAGCCCTTAGGGGAAGTCAATGTTTTGAGAGAAGCCAAACTTTTGGAGACACAGTGAAGTAACTGATGTATCACAACATAGCATCTCAGAAACAATGGAACAGATGGTTTCAAAATTCCAGTCTCTGAAAGACTCTTCTAAGGTGTTAGCAATCAAAATTTTCTTGGGACTACGCAGTAGCAAACCTTGGTTCCTGCTTGGGAACCAGTGTAGGACAGTATATATAGGTATTTATATGTGGGATTTGTTGTAGGCACTCAATATACCCCTTGACCCATGCAAGTGTCAAAGTGTCCAGCCCCAGTGTCTACTCCTTATAAAAAACCATAGAGGCATCAATGCTAACATGTTCCAGTGGCTAGGGATATGAAATGCTGAATTCTTAAAGACATTTCAGAGAAATAGGTCTGCTGTGGCATGGCATTTCCCAGTACTTTTCCTTAAAAACTATTTTGGGGGGCTAGGGATGTAGCTTAATGGAAGACCACTTGCCTCACAAGTACAAAGCCCTGGGTTCATGGTGAAGGGGACAAAAAACCCACAGTAATCAAAAAGACATTTTCACAGACAATGATATCAGGTCAGCTCCATGAGGGACCATTTAACAACAGAAGTAACAACCATAAAGACTTAAGAGGACAAAGAAAACCAAGTCTCACCAGTTCTCTTTAAGATATTCTGTTCATATATTTACAAGTTGCTAGGTACATTACTTAAGAATAAAGTATATCCAGTACAGCCCAATGACTAAATAACTATTTTAACTATGAAGTGGGTAAGAACCACACTGTAGAATAGAATGCTGCTCTCTCTTCTTTCAAGGATATTATGAACACATTTTGATGCCTTGAGGACCATGATTCGTGTTAAATATGAACAATAGACAAATAATAATATATCTTGCTCCAAAATATGAGGTAGTTTGGCAGTTACAGGTATGCCATCCTATTTTGTAATTATAGAACCTGAAAAGGTTAAAAGGTGCCATAATTAGGACTACAGGAAGCAACAGTAAGGAAGATTAAGTTTAAAAAAGAAAAGATGAAACAGTATATGTTTCATAGTATACAGTGTGCTAAATTTTGTGGAGGAAAGGGAGAAAATAAGAATATATTTGTATTTGCTTAAATGGTTACCTATAGGGCTGGGATTGTGGCTCAGTGACAGAGCACTTGCCTAACATATATGAGACGCTTGGTTTGATCCTCAGCACCACATAAAAATAAATAAAGGTATTGTGTCCATTTACAACTAAAAAAAAAAAATGGTTATCTATAGGAAGCAGGAGAAATGGGATTGATAGGCAGAGGTAGGACCAGGATTTGTTGTAGATCTTTTTATATTGTTTTGATGTTTGAACCATGTGACTCTGTTACCTTATAAAGAGGTCTGAGGCAGCCTAGAGTGATGGCTCATGCCTGTAATCCCAGAGGCTTGGGAGGCTGAGGAAGGAAGATCATAGCCAGCCTCAGCAATTTAGGCTCTAAGCAACTTAGCAGAACCCTGTCTCAAAATAAAAAGTGAAAAAGGGCTGGCAATGTGGCTCAGTGATTAAGCACCCTTGGGTTCAATCCCTTGTATTAAAAATAGCAAACAAACAGTCGGAGGCATAGGTACTTATTGATCATTATAGAGTACATTTCCTATTGATTTCCCATATGGTATGCATATGAATTCTTAGACCAAAGAGGGATTTTTAAAAAAAATTTTTTTAATGGTACTAGGGATTAAATGGTACTAAGTGTAAGTTCAAGTATGTCTTGAGGTTAAATCCAGAGATTTAGAATGGCTATGCTGCAAGAGTTCTCCTAGGTTAGATGGATTAAATGGTACTCGTCACTGAGCTACACCTCCAGTCCTTTATATTTTTTTGAGTTCTGGTCTCATTAAGTTGCTGAACCTCAGGACTGGGATTGTGGCTCATGGGACTGGGATTGTGGCTCAGTGGCAGAGCGCTCACCTAGCATGTGCAAGGCCCTGGGTTCAATCCTCAGCACCACATAAAAATAAAGATATTGTGTCCAACTGTAACTAAAAAAATAAATAAATATTAAAAAAAAAAGTTGCTGAACCTCACTAAATTGCTGAGGCTGGCCTCAAACTTGCAATCCTCTTGTCTCAGCATGAACCATCATGCCCAGCCTTATTAACTGTTACTATGAATTTCAGAGGACAAGTTGAAGGCCTCCTGAAAACTGACTGCCAAACCACAATGGCTCTGTGTGACAGGTTAGATAGGCAGAATGTCACATAAAGGAGGTCTGAACATCCATGATTTAGTTGGTTCCACCAAGATGGCAGGTAGATTACCTCAACTCTCCATCTAACTTAGGAGAACTCTTGCAGCATAGCCATTCTAAATCTCTGGATTTAACCTCAAGACATACTTGAACTTAACTTAGTAGGCTAGACTCCACAACCCGTCAATTAAAAATCAAAGTGACTATTCTGAAAACCCAACTCTAAAAAAAAAAAAACAAACAAAACAAAGCTTTACAACTTCATTTGTTTAAAAGACCAGCTCATACAAAATCGCCTTTCTGAACTAGGGAGTAGCTCAGTGGTAGACCACGTACATAGCAAGTATGAGGTTCTGGGTTTGATTGCCAGCACTATAAAAATAAAAACAAAAAAGAAAACCTCAGGGGCTGGGGTTGTGGCTCAGTGTAGAGCACTCACCTGGCACATGCAAAGCCCTTGGTTTGATCCTTAGCACCACATTAAAATAAATAAATAAAATAAAGGTATAGTGTCCAACTACAACTAAAAATAAATAAATATTTAAAAAAAGAAAAACCTATAATACTTTCTCCAGTTCCACAGCACTTTTCATTTAACTTATATTCCCTATCTTAGAGGATAATCTTGAATTTCAAGCAAAACAACAGGTCCTTTTTCTACACAAACATCTATATCTGTTTGTACTATGATTTGTTAATCTAATTTTCTATTAGATTATTAATTCCTGATAGTACCTCTTAATAATACTGTTCCCCAAAAAACAAACTACTGTTACCATGTATTAGGCTGTTATAAGGGGGATATATAGGGCTGGGTTTGTGGCTCAGAGGTAGAGCGCTTGCCTACCATGCATGAAGCGCTGGGTTCGATCCTTAGCACCACATAAAAATAAAGATATCCCATCCACCTATAACTAAAAAACAAACATTAAAAAAGGGGGGGACATATATATTTGTTACAGTAAATACAGTGGTTTATGTAAACACTGTGTGACTAAATAAACACATACTAGTTTCTTTACCTACTTAAGGTTGACTTTTTTTTTTCCTTTTCTTTTTTTGGTACTGGGGATTTAACCCAGGGGTATTTTCATTGAGATTCAATTGCAGCCTTTTGTATTTTTTTGTGACAGGGTATCTTTTAAGTTGCTGAAACTTGCAATCCTTCTGCCTCAGCTACCCAAGTACCTGGGATTACAGGCTTGCACTACCACATTCAACTTTATCTCGCATTTTTATGAATTGCCAAGATCATTGTAATGTCATGTGTAGCTAATAAAAAAACAAACTTTTTTTTATCTCGTATTTTAAAATACTAAAATGTTTTCCTCTTAAGTATCTTTCTATGCATGATAGAAAGCATCACACATGGTAGAAATAATGCTGCTTACCCACCTAGAACATTTGCCTTTAAGAAACTAGCTTCCTTTTATTAATTTCATTGCCTGTCATGTTTTCCTTTGTTGTAATCTTTTTTATTCATTTTAAAATCATTTAATAGCCAGGCAAGGTAGTGTGCAGTTACTGGGGAGATGAATGCAAGAGGAATACAAGTTCAAGGCCAGCCTCATCAATTCAGGGAGACGGGGAGCCTGGGGATGTAGCTCAGTGATACATCACACCTGGATTCAATTCTCAGTCCAAAAGGAAAAAAAGAAAGAAGTCATTTAGTGTGTATGTTTGGCCTTTATCAAGGAATTTGGACATTTTTCCAGAGTCCATCTAGTAATTTTAAGCCTACTATTTTTAAAAAATATTTATCAACTTCTATATCTTTTTTTTTAAAGAGAGAGAGAATTTTTTAATATTAATTTTTTAGTTTTCGGTGGACACAACATCTTATTTGTATGTAGTGCTGAGGATCGAACTCGGGCCACACGCATGCCAGGCGAGCGCGCTATCGCTTGAGCCACATCCCCAGCCCTAAGCCTACTATTTTTATAGTCATTTTAAACTAAAAATTATAATTACTTTCTTACCTCAGGAGGGATGATCATAATAAATTAGGAAATGATATTATAGAAAATAAAAAACAAGATAAATAAATAATTACTATTATATCCACGGAGGAGGATTCCAAGTTTGAGACCAGTCTAAATAACTTAGGGAGACTCTGTCTCAAAATGATTTGATTCCCAGTACTGCAAAAACAAATACAAGCACCCCCCCCCCCCAACAAACAAACACACAACAAAATGACTGTACAGAATCAAAGAGAAAACCACCAGATAACATTTTTTTTCAGGCTGCAGAAACCATTTAATCCATTTGTACATAAAGAAACTAGCACAGAGGGGCACAGGGGCACACTTCTATAATCCCAGCTACTTGGGAGGCTGAGGCAGGAGAATAGGAAGTTTAAGGCCAGCCTGGGAAACTTAGTGAACCTTGTCTCAAAATAAAAACTTTCTTAAAAGGGTTGGGGATGTATCTCAGTGATAGAGCACCCCTGGGTTCCATCCCAGTACTGCAAACAAAGCAAAGGAATGGAAAAAAAAAAAAAAGAAACTAGCACAGAGCTGGGTGTGTAGAAATACATTAAATCCTTCCCATCTGTTTTCTCTGGCTTCTCAAAATGTAAAGCAAGTAAAATGGGGTTTAACCAAATCTTTGTCTAAGGAACAGAATTTCTTTAAAAAAATGTATATGTTAAGATCTGCTAGAGTAGAAGATTAGAACAGCACTTTATCATCAGATGCTGGAATTATGACTACTATAAGCAATTGATTTGAATTTATTTGAACAGTAACTCCTTTAAAATCTACATGATTCATCAAAATTCCCTCCATTCCCAACCAAGACTAATGCCCCATAGAGTTGTCCCAGTCTGGAAAATAATTTGTTACTGATCTATTACATAATGTACCATTACAGTCCAAGTGCAGATTACAGTGAGTTTCCCTCTATCTGGATTAATGATAATTGGGTTTCATTTCTAAACATATCAGAGCTTTCAAAGATTGAAATATACAAATCTTCACTACCCAGGTCTCCTTGCCTGAGCAGGACACAACTAAGTAGTAAGAGCATTTATCAAAAAGGGACACATCAGGCTTCACAGGTGCCACGCAAGAATCATAAATGCTTGTTTCACATGATGTCTTCCATTAACCTGAAGCCTTTGGTTTGTTTCTTTGAGCAAACCACTCATCACTTTTATCTGCCGCCATTGCCTACAGAAACAGAAATATACATTTATTCCAAGTCTGAAAAACAATATATACTTTATATCTCACTGCATGTACTATGCACAAAGAAGAAATTGATATTTAAAGAGTGTTCATCCAGTGTATTTTGTTTAATGTGACAGAGATGCTAATGAATACTGATCAACTGCTTGGTGATTATCATTCTGCAGAGTTAAGGGCAAAGTCTGTTGGCTGATGAAAGTGCAGGGACCATGCATGCCAGCCTGTGAGGTCTGTGGTAGAACAAAAATCTTTAGTGTCATGAGACTCAGTCTGAGACTAAGGCCAAATAAAAGCAGGTATTTGATGTTTTAGCTAGTGGGCCTTGAATGATTCACTTTTTTAAAAAATATTTATTTTTTAGTTGTAGTCGGGCACAACCACAACTATTTATTTATTTTTAAGTGGTGCTAAGGATCAAACGCAGTGCCTCATGCATGCAAGGCAAGTGCTCAACCATTGAGCTACAACCCCAGCCTAAATGATTCACTTTTTAAAGGCTCTTCCTAGCCTACTCCACCAATATCAGTTCTGTTGGATTAGTTTTATGCCTATTAACTCAAAGAGAATCCTTGTTAATGAAAGAACTCTTACAAGAGTTCTTTTAGCTGTTTATTAAGAAAAACACTTAGGCAGCCCAAAAGCAAGTATGGAAATAGCTTTCTAAAAAAAAAAAAAAAAGGACAGGGCTGGGGTGGTAGCACAGTGGTAGAGCACTTGCCTCGCACACGTGAGGCCCTGGGTTTGATACTCACTGCCACCATAAAAAAATAAAGTTATTGTGTCCATCTATAATAAAAAAAAATTTTTTTTTAAATGACAGTTTTCATCACAAGCTAGGTATTAAGCTGGATCAGGTGTGGCTGCTATGACAAAGTCTCAGGCTGTGGGGTTTATATAGAACAGTCTAGGACTCACATATGGAAACAATTACTTTGCACAGAGAATATGTGTGTGTGTGAGGCATTCACTATAATACAGCCATGAACAAAGTGGTACCTGACCAACAAGAAATAACTAATTGGAGAAAGTGTAAAAAATACCCATCTACCTTCAGAAGGAAGTCACAAGATGATGTCACTAATTGAAAATGAGAAAACAAATGTATATAATGTATATATCTTGTTTAGAAACGGGTGATGGCAGTCTTGGATAATGGGTCAAAAATGGGGCAAGACATTATTACATTTCATTTATATAAATCTTAGTACTGGGCTGGGGATGTAGCTCAGTTGGTAGAATGCTTGCCTTGCATGCACAAGGCCCTGGGTTCCATCCCCAGAACCACAAACAAACAAACAATAAAATCTTAGTATTATCTGATTTATTCTGATGAAAATAAAAGGTGCTTAAAAATCAAAGATATGCTAAAAAGCAACAAAGATTCACAATAGTTAGAATTGCAAAATTTTCTGTCTTTTAGGTACCATAAAAGTGGAGGGACAGAACCCAAGAAACTTTCTCATTTTTTTTTTTAAAGATGTTGATGAACCTTTATTTTATTCATTTATTTATATGCAGTGTTGAGAACCAAACCCAGTGCCTCACACATGCTAGGCAAGTGCTCTACTACTGAACTACAACCCCATCCCCAGCTCTCTGAGTTTTGAAGCACAAGTTGAAGAACAGGGAAGAGAAAAAAACTCTTTGGGCAAGGCAAGGTTTGGGTTAATATAAACAGTTCAATGGGACTGGAATATGGACAGGTAAGTGACCTTTGTGAGACAGGTAGATTAGATCAGAGTAGGGAAGGGCCAGACATGTCCACATCCTCTGTCAGAGGGTTTGGCATACATCTTGAAAGTACTGGAGAGCTATCAGAAGATTAAACACTTGTAAGAATCACTGGATTGCCGCTGTGGAAAGCTAACACTGGCAGCAAGAAAGGGGGATGTACTGGAAGGTGGGAAGAGGCTTTTGCAGTATTACAGGGGATAATGAGGACATTTTCAAAAATAAAGTTGTCAGACCAAAGACATTTCAGAACTCACATCTCTTGGTGACTAAGAAGAGCTAGAAGAATTTAGGAGTGTGAAGAAACAACATACAAATATGGCTCTGTCTATACATCTAAAGCTATTTTAAAATAAAAAACATGTTAAAAACAAAACAGTTGAAACAACAGCAACAAATTAGTCCTGAGGACTGTGGTGTGAACAATTGGGATAAAAGACATACTGTATATACTACCCACAAGAAGAAGCAGGGTATAGAGAAAGGAAAAGAATCGACTATGAAGCCCAAAAGACCTCCACCCAAGTCCCTGCTTGACACTTAGCTGAATGAATGATGTTTATGGCTGAGTGGCTTAATCATTTTTTTTTAAATTTATTTTTAAATTTATTTTTTAGGTGTAGATGGACACAACACAATTTCTTTACTTTTAGGTGGTGCTAAGGATTGAACCCAGCTCCCACCCCTGCTAAGCGAGTGCTCTACCCCTGAGCCACAATCCCAGCCCTGGATTAATCTTTTTGAGCCTCAGTTTTCTCATCTGCAAAGGGGAATGCTATTAACCTTGCAGACTATACTAAGAATTATAGAAAGTACATAAAACACTTAAGAATGTATCCAAATAAGAGATACTTAGTAACAATCTCCATTGAATATTATTAAAAGAAGAATGTATTTTTTTTCTTTTTTTCTTTAAGATAAGTTACAGACACACTGTGGGTTCATGGTGAAGAGGCTCACTAGATACAATACTGGTCTGGAACCAAAAGCACTAAATATAAAAAGTGGATAAATGGGCTTCCCTGCTCTTCAAAAGACTCCGCTGAGCTGGGAATGTAGCTCAGTGATAACATTTGCCTAGTATGTGCAAGGTCTGGGCTTCAAACCCTAGCACCACCAACAAAATAAAATAAAGAAAATAAAGAGCCAAACCAGAGTGGTAGTACATGCAGGTAATCACAACAACTTGGGAAGCTGAAGCAGGAGGATTGTGAGTTTGAGGCCAGCGTCAGCAACTTAGTGAGACCTTGTCTCAAAATAGAAAACAAAAAGACCTGGGGATGTAGCTCAGTGGTAAAGTGCTCCTAGAATAAATCCCTACACCAAAGACAAAAGAAAACAAAACAGACAAGCCATAGACTAGAAAAAATACTTGCATTTGCAGGTATCTACCAAATTACTTATATATAGAATATATAAAGAACTCCAACAAGTCAATAAAAATGAATAAATGTAGGGCAAACCAATAGTATAAAACCATTTTTCAGACAACAGGGAAATTTTAATAACTGGATCTTTATCCCAGGACTGCCAAGAGAGAGGGAATGAGCACTGGATTTTAGATGACACTGTTGATACACAGTTCCCATCCCAGTGCCAGGGATTGAATCCAGGACCTTGCACACGTTAGCACTCAACCACTGAGCTATAACCCCAGCCCATACTGTATATTTTTTAAGGGTGACAATGTCAACAATGGTTTATAAGAAAATTGTTTAATTCCTACTTCCTTATATTGTCATAAAAAGTACGAAATACTTAAGTATTTTAGAAATTTAAAAAATGGTATGCTAATCTGAGATATGTCTTAGAAATCCCCAGCCAAAAGAAAAAACAAAAGAAAATCAGGACTAGGGATTGAAGGAAAGAATGATAAAAATAACTATGGTACAGAGGTGATGGGTGAGAGTCACACAGGGATTTGTTGTACTTTTCTTTAGTCATCAGGGAAATACAAATTAAAACCAAAACAAGAAATAATCTTTCAACTGTTAGAATGGCTAAAACCCAGAAAACAAAAACCCAAAATGTTGGTGAGGATATGGAGCAATTGGAATGCTCAAACACCTACAGTACTTCCCCTTTATCCTTAGGTGATACCTTCCAAGACCCCTAGAGGATGCCAGAAACGGTGGATAGTACCCTATAATTTAATGCTTTCCTATCATAACTAGGCACTTACTTTGTCCTATGGCAATAACTTGCATTTTGAAATACAAAAGCAAAACTAATACAAATATCTTTTTACGTCTTCAAATTTTATAGATAAAAGATTTGATCGTATTGTTATCTTGGAATCTAAGCATTTTTTTTTTTTAAAGAGAGAGAGAGAGAGAGAGAGAGAGAGAGAATTTTTTTTTTTTAATATTTACTTTTTAGTTCTCGGCGGACACAACATCATTGTTGGTATGTGGTGCTGAGGATCAAACCTGGGCTGCACGCATGGCAGGCGAGCGCGCTACTGCTTGAGCCACATCCCCAGCCCTAAGCATTTTTTTTTTCTTTCCTTATTAATCAAGAATTTTTACCTTTTCACCTAAAAGAAGCACTGTGAAGCTTCTCTTTGGCATAATGAAATTGCCAACATCACTACTTTTGTGCTTTGAGGCCATTATTAAGTAAAATAAGGGTTGCTTGAACTCAAGCACTGCTATATCAAGGCACTTAATCTAAAAACCAAGATGGCTACTGACTAGTGTGAGAGGAGTGTATACAAGTGGCTACACTGGATAAAAGGATGATTCAAGTCCTAGGTGGAACAGAACAGGAAAACAGGAGATTTCATTATGCTTCTCAGAACAGTGTGCAATTTCAAATGTATGCACTGTCTCTTTCTGGAATTTTCCATTTCATATTTTTGGAAACAAGAGACTATAGGTAACTGAAATCATGTGAAAAGAGAAATTGCAATTAAGGAGGACTACTATAGTATAATTACTATGGATAGCTATTTGGTACTTTTGGATAAAGTAAAAGCAATTCTACTAAGAATTTACCTGAAACATAAAACATGTACTTATAAGAAGATTTAAACAAGAATTTTCATAGCAGTCTTCTTTTTAGGAGATAAACATCTGGAAACAGCTTAATTGTCTAACATTGCAAGAATGGATAAACAACTGTTATAAAGGTGAATACTATTCAATGAGAAAACAAACAAACAAAAAATAAACTATGATGTATGTAACCACATGAAGGAACCTCAAAAATGTTGAAATAAAGAACCGTGTATAAAAGAATACCTACTGAGTGATTCTATTTGTATGAGTCCAAGAACAAACAAAACTAATCTATAGTGCCAGAAATCTGAATAGCGCTTGCCTCTGGAAAAAGTGGTCAAAAAAGATGTGAAGAAGGCAGAATCTCAAACTCTAATACCAAAGAAGAGAGTTTAAGAGAAGGGAAAGTTTGTAGATGGCATGAAAGAACAAGGAGGAAGTCCAGCAAAAAGTTGCCTGAGATTCTAGTTTCCTATATAAAATTTACAAAAGATGTATCTGTATCTTCTTACACATTTCCTGCTTTAGTCTATGGTTTGCTGAGCTTTAAAAACCACAGAAAAGGGGCTGGAGATGTGGCTCAAGGGGTAGCGCGCTCGCCTGGCATGCCTGCGATTCGGGTTCGATCCCCAGCACCACATACAAACAAAGATGTTGTGTCCGCCAAATACAAAAAAAAAATAAAAAATATTAAAAAAAAAAAAACTAATTTACAAAAAAAAAAAACCACAGAAAAATCCCATGAAGCAGATATTCTAACCTTCTCAAATTGTTAGATAAAGAAGCAGAAGTTCAAAGAATTTAAGTAAATTGCTTAAGATCATTTATATAGATATTAAAATGACAGAACTGGGATAGACTAATTAATTCCTTCAATCATTCAATAATGTATTTAGAGATAAGCCAGGTAAGATAAGTAGTGGCATGTGCCTGTAGTCCCAGCTACTTAGGAGGCTGAGGCAGGAGGATCACTTGAACCCAGGCATTTGAGACCAGCCTGGGCAACAATTGCAAGACCCTATCTCTCTCTCTCTCTCTCTGTCTCTCATATATACATACACACAGAGTATTCTTAAAACCTTTACTACATGCTAGATACAAGAAGTTTGAGTAACTCCTTTGAAGATTGCTTGGAAAAAAATTTTAATACAAAATTTTTCATTTTAATACAAAATTAAAAATTGTAAATACAAAAACAAAACATAACCAACTTTTTTAAAAATCTTTTTTTTGGAAGGTGGTACTAGGAAGTGAACCTAGGGCTTTACGCATGTTATGTAAACACAATACTCCTGAGCTACTTCCCCAGCCCTTTTATTTTTGAGACAAGTTTCTGTTAATTTCCCAGGCTGTCCTTTAACTTTCAATCTTCCTGCCTCAGGCTCTCAAATAGCTGGGACTACAAGCACATACCATACCTGGCTGAAAAATCAAGTTTGATGAAAATAAAAAAGAAGTTTCTGGATTTGGCAAGATGGAAGTCCCAAAGATGTCAACATCAGCAAATATTTGAGTGACAAAGAGTTACTGCAGACTAGAGTGAAGTATAAATGGAGAGTAAAAAGTAGAAACTGTATGCAGACAAATTTTTAAAGAAGAAATCTAGGGCTGGGGTTGTAGCTCAGTGGTAGAGCGCCTGCCTCTCATGCGTGAGGCCCTGGGTTTGGTGCCCAGCACCACATAAAAATAAAGATATTGTGTCCATCTACAACTAAAAAAAAAAAGGAGCAGGGGAAGGAGGGGGAAGAGGGGGAGGAGAAGGAGGAGGAGGAGAAGGAGAAGGAGGAGAGGAAGGGAGGAAGGGGAAGAGGAGGAAGGGAAGGAGGAGGAAGGGGAAGGGGAGGAGGAGGAAGGGGAGGAAGAAGGAGAAGAAGAAGAGGAGGAAGAGGAAGAGAAGAGGAAGAGGTAGAGTTAGAGGAAGAAGAAGAAATCTATAGCCCAGTGTGGTGGCACACACCTATAATCCCAGCAGTTTAGGAGGTTAAGACAGGAGGATGGCAAGTTCAAGGCTAGATTCTGAAGATGTAGCCCAGTCATAAAGGTCCCCTGGGTTAAATCCCCATTACCAAATATAAAGAAAAAAGAAAGAGAGAGAGAAATTTATAAAGAAATCCAGGGCTGGGGATGTGGCTCAAGCGGTAGCGCGCTTGCCTGGCATGCGTGCGGCCTGGGTTTGATCCTCAGCACCACATACAAACAAAGATGTTGTGCCTGCCGAAAACTAAAAAAAAAAAATAAAAAGAAATTAAAAAAAAAAAAAAGAAATCCAAAGAAAGGATATGGAGTTAATACAAAGCTTAAAAGATGGGAACTACTGGAGCTTGCTTGTATGCTTATGAGAACAATTCACTAGGAAGACGGACTGAGCTGCTGAATGGAAGAGAAGACCAGAAACCTAAGAAAGTGAGGCGGGGCTGGGGCTGGGGCTGGGGCGCTGGGGTTGTGTCTCAAGGGGTAGAGCGTTCACCTAGCATGTGTGAGGCACTGGGTTTGATTCTCAGCACCACATAAAAATAAAAGCATTGTGTTGTGTCCATCTACACCTAAAAAATAAATATTAAAAAAAAAAAAAAAGAAAAAGAAAGAGAATGAGACGAGATGGTATCTTGGCATTCCCACACTTACTGAGCAGAATAATATTGTATACAGCAGCAGTGGTTCTCTAAGACAGCCTGAGTTTACATAAGGGGTCATACAGGTAATAATGAAGACATAGGTCCCTGGCTAAAAAGTCACCAACAGCAAAAGGATGTGGTTCAGACTAAGAACCTGGACCCTACTGCTTTGACCCTTTCCCATATACATTTATGCCTTCCCCCTTAGGCCTATGGTGACATAATATAGAAATAAGACTCACTGGCTAGGGTCATAGAACACTGGTAGAGCACTTGCTTAGCGAGTGAGGCACAGGGTTCAATTCTCAACACTGCATAGAAATAAATAAAAAATAAATAAAGGTCCATTGACAACTAAAAAATATATGTTAAAAAAAAAAAAAGAAATCAGACTCACATCATCCAATAATTTGCTTCCCTCTGGATCCATTTTAGAAAGTTCTCGAAATGCTTCATCCCCAACAAAGCAAATTTCATGTCCATCCTATACCAATAAATAGAAAAGCAATTTGTAAAAAGACATCTCTGAAGCAACCCATGGTAGAGCCTGTCTCCTTGCTCAGTAATACTTACAGGGTCAGCCAGAATCACCACTTGTACTGTGGCCTTCCCTGGGGTATCTAGACTCACCAAGGGAGTCAGTATCGTCTGGTTCTCCTTTTTCATTAAGTCCTCTAAGTCTGGCAACTTGAGAAAAAGAAGGCAAAGTGAGCAAGGATCACATACTCATTAGCTCCAGATGAGTATCTGATCAGAAAGAACCATGGCACCAATTGTTTGATTTTATTATCTTAATGGCTCTTAAAATAACTGTTGAACTTGATTCCAAAGCGACAATCAGAATGAACCTGAAGAAGGAAGGCCAAGGTACTCAGCTGAGTGGAACCAGCTAGTCACAGAGATTAAACAAAAGTCAGGTGATCTAACATTACCTCTTTATGGGGACAAGAAAAGGCAATTCTTCCAAAAGCTGCTGCATGGTCAACTGGACCCTCGATGCCCTGCAGCTCCAACTTACACTGAGAAGAAAGAAGAGAGTTTATGCTTCTGGACAGGTTATACATGCATATGGTAACAAAATTCAAACAGTGGGGCTAGGGATGTAGCTCAGTAGTAAAGTATTTGACTAGTATGTTTAGACCCTGGGTTTGATCCTAGATCCCCAGCACATTAAAAAAAAAAAAAAAAAAAAAGTTAAAGAGTACTAAAAGAAGTAAAAACAAAGCCTTCCTCCTACTTTCACCCAAGAAGCTACCAGTTTCCAATGTCCAGAGATTTCTTCTAGGCACATTTTGTGTGTGTATGTGTGTGTGTGTTTTGTTTTATATAAATGGTAGCCCAATTTACAAGTTATTCTATCATTTGTTTTCTTTACTTAACATTACTACATACCAGTACATAAAGACTTGCCCCAGGCTTTTCAATAGCTATATAATAATCCATTCTGGTTTTTTGTATTATTTTTGTTTTTTGTGAGGGGGTTTTTTGGTATTGGGGATGGAACCCTTGTGCATAGTAGGCAAGTCTTCTACCACTAAGCTATATCCCCAGTATCCCATTCTATGGATTAATTATACAGTTTTTAAATATTCCTCTAATCCACAGGACATGAAGATTCCTATCTTTTCCTACTACAAACAATGCTACAATAGATAACCACAAACTCACTTCTTTGTGCATGTATATGCTGAGTACATCTATTAAAAAATAGAACCCCAAGGCTGGGGTTGTGGCTCAGCGGTAGAGCCCATGCCTAGCATGTGCGAGGCCCTGAGTTCGATTCTCAGCACAACATAAAAATAAATAAAAGTATTATGTCCAACTACAACTAAAAAGTAAATATTAAAAATATATATAATATGGGCTGGGATTGTGGCTCAGTGATAGAGCACTTGCTAGCACGTGCGAGGCGCTGGATTTGATTCTCAGCACAACATAAAAATAAATAAAATAAAGGCATTATGTCCAACTACAATTAAAAAAATATATATATATACATGTATATATATGTATATGTATATATTACAATCCCAGCTACTTAGGAGGCTGAGGCAGGAGGATCACAAGTTCAAGGCCAGCCTGGGCAACTAATAGAGATCCTGTCTCAAAAAACAAAACAAAACACAACCCCCAATAAGGGCTGGGAATGTCACTTAGTGGTAAAGTAGTTGCCTAGCATGTATAAGACCCTGGGTTTAACCCCAAGTGTCACCAGAAAATAAAATATCCAAGAAGTACAATTGCTGGGCCAAAGTATAAAGACTAAATCAGGTTCAAATGCTAGGTTACTAAGTATATATATTTACATATATAAAAACAGATCATGCATTAATTCTTGTTTGTGTCTAAGAAATTCCACCTCCTCTAGTATGTTGGCCGTGCTGGGGACAGAACCCAAGGCCTTTCACATTAGGCAAAGGCCTTTCACTGCTCTATCACTATGCCATATCCCAGCCTATTCCACTTCTAAACAGATATATTCCCAAACAGAAACAGAAATAATATCTGAGTGGTGAGATTATCACTAATTTTTATTTTATTCTGTCTGTATAAACATTGAATCAGGGTTGGGGTTGTAGCTCAGTGGCAGAGCTTGTGTGAGGCGCTGGGTTCAATCCTCAGCACCACATTAAAAAAAATAAAATAAAAATATTGTGTCCACCTATAACTATAAATACATACATACATAAATAAATTTTGAGTCACTGTGAAGAACTATGAGAACAACCTTCATGTTCCCCTCATTTATAAAACGAACTCAAAGAAACAAGTTATTTTTTTCCAAGATCACTTACCTGGTTATCAGCATAGCCCAGCAAAGCCCTTTGTTTCTCTTCATCTTGTTCATAAATTTTCATTCCCAGTAGATTAGACCAGTAGTGCAAGGACTTCTGAAGATCAGACACTGCAAGAGTTACTTTCAATACAGGATCTGTAAAGTAATAAATCAGCAGGAATAGACAGGTCATTTTGGTACAAAAGATTAAAAAGACCAAGCTGGGCATGGTGGATTGCAAGTTCATGGTCAGCCTCAACAATTTAGAGAGACCCTCAGCAATTTAACAAGACCCTGTCTCAAAATAAAAAACAAAATGGGCTGGGGGTATAGCTCAGGATTACTGGTTTCAAACCCCAGTACCACAAAAATACACATATACAAAAATAGGCTTAGGGCTGGGGAGATAGCTCAGTTGACAGAGTGCTTGCCTTGCATGCACAAGCCCTAGGTTCAATCCCCAGCACCACAAAACAAAACAAAACAATCATATGTAAAAATTTAGTTAATGGGGGTGGGAATATTGCTTAGCAGTAAAGTGCATGCTTTGCATATGTGAAGCTCTTGGTTTGATATCCCCCAAAAGAATTAGTTTATGATTTAAAAAAGGATTTTAAATCAATATGAAAGAGCACCTTATTCAATAGATGACACTAATTTAATTAGTCAATCAATTGGTGGGGAAAAGGTATGTATTTGAATTAAATAGCAAAATTAAATGCATTCCTAATGGGTTAAAGGGATCAAGTTCAAAGAATAAAACTAAGAAAATACTAAATACAGGTGATGATTTATACAATTTTAGATTGGGGGATGATTTTTATTTAAATATGACACCAAAGATAGAAAAACCATGAAGAAAAAAAGCCTGCCAGGTTAACTACACAAAATGGGAAAATCCTAGACAATAAGAACTAAAAGAATTCTAGGGCTGTGGATGTAGGTCACTGATAAGTTACAGGCCTAGCATGTACAAGCCCTGAGTTGAATCTTGAATGCTCCTTGTCCCCCAAAAGAATAATTAAGATTAAAAAGAATTGGGCTGGGGTTGTGGTTCAGTAGTAGAGCGCTTGTCTAGTATGTATGAAGCACTGGGTTCAAATCTCAGCACCACACATGAATAAATAAAGTCCATTGACAACTAAAAAAAAAAAAAAAGAATTAAGAAAAAATTTTTGCTATACATAGGACAAACATTCATTAATATGAAAATCATATTTAAGCACCAATGAGAAAAAGGTGAACAGCCTAGAAAAATTGGCAAAAGGTGCAAAGCAGATATCCACATAAGGAGGAACTGGAATGGTCAATGAACATGAAAAACTTATTCAATCTCACAAATCATCAAAGAAATTTAAATTCATATAAAATATTTCATCTAACTGGCAAATGATTTGGTTTTTCATTATTATTATTTTTATTTTTGTTCTCTTGGCAAATAATTTTAGTTTTTTCACATTGTTTGAATTAAACCCACGTCCCCAGCCACAGGAAAATAATTTTAAAAGTAGTGTTAACTGTGTGTGTGTGTGTGTGTGTGTGAGGCTCGGGCAGGGGTCACAATCATAGAGTACTGATAGAGTGTAAATTAATACATTTCTGGTCAACAATTTGATAATTGCCTCACATGTATGAGGACTGGGTTCCATCCCTGGCACTGCTTTAAAAAAAAGAACAGTATTCTTGACAGAATGTATCAAAATCTTTAAAAATGTACATTGTTAAAAGAGCAAGTCCAGTTTCAGCAATTCAAAAAGTAATTGTGGATGTATGAAGGTCTTTCATCACAAAGACATTTGTCAGTGTTGCCCAAAAAATGAAACACTGGAAATAACATAAACATTCAACAATAGAGAATTGTTTATCTTCCTACAATGTGATAATGCAATGGAATTCTTGCAATGGATAATGAAGACAGATCCTGTCTAAAATAAAAAATAAAAAAGGGCTGGGGATGGGGCTCAGTTGAACCTTGGGTTCAATCACTGGTACCAAAAACAAAACAAATCAACAAGTCCCAGTTGATTCAGAACTTGAAGGAATGCAGGAACAGGAATGGGAATGAATGGGAATAAGTTTTTGAAACTAAACAGGAATGAATAATTTAAACAAAGGATGGATGCCAGCTAAACTGACAGATTTAACTCCATTACCAACAGAAAATTAATGCCCCAAGGATGTTATTACCTCCCAAGGAGGACAAAAACAGTATCTAAAACACTTGGGACTGTAAGTGTTTCAGATTTTGGAGTTTTTCAGGTTTTAGAAAAATTTGCACAGACTTTTACTGGTTGATCATCCCTGATCCAAAATGCTCTGAAATCTGAAACTTTCTGAGTGCAGACATGACGTTCTAAGTATGATGTTTTGGATTTCAGAGCATTTGGAATTTTCGGAATAGGGATACTTACCTGTATTGAATAACTACTAAGATTAGAGGAGGGAAAAAAAAAAGTATGATGGATTTAGTTGCAGAAATTATGGTTTAAAAGAGTATTCAGACCAACCACAGTGACACGTCTGTAATCCCAGCAACTGGGAAAGCTGAGGTAGGAGGACTGTAAGTTTGAGGCCAGCCTCAGAAACTTAGGGAGACCCTGTCTCAAAATAAAAATAAATAACAATGAGAAAGGGATAAAGATGTGGCTCAGTGATAGAGTAGCCCTAGGTTCAATTCCTAGCAGCAAAAATAAATGAAAATAATAAAGTCAGTATATAAAGCAACAATTGCCTGTCAAAACAAAACAAAACAAAAAAAACCCCACAGCTAGGAACAGTAGTTCATGCCAATAATTCTAGCAACTGGGGAAGTTGAGGCAGGAGGACCACAAGTTCAAGGCCAGCCTCAGCAACTGAGCAAAGCCCTAAGCAACAAAGTGAGATTCTGTCTCAAAAAATAAAAAGGGATCTAGCTCAGCAATAAAGTACCCCTTGGTTCAATCCCCAGTACCAAAACAAAAAAACAAAAGAAAACAATGACAAAAATGCTTTCCTCCACTAGTCTGCATCATGTCCCAAATGCTGAGTCTAATTTTAGTTTTCAGTGTTATTTGTTTTTCATCATGCTCAGCAAAAAGACCAATCCTTTCTGATGTGGGAGGGTAGACCAGCTGTGTAGGACTTATTGCAAGCTGGTATTTCTGTACTTCATTGATGATTGAAGGGTTTTTTTTTTTTTTTTTAATTTTCTGTATAGGGGGATTGAACCCAGGGTGCTTTACCATGAGCTACATCCCAAGATCTTTTTATTTTGAGACAAGGTCTTTGCTAAGTTGCTGAAGGCTTTGCAAAGTTACTGAGGCTGGCCTTCAACTTGCAATCCTCCTGCCTCAGCTTCTAGAATTGCTGGCATTACAGACATGTATTACCACACCTGGCTTGGAAAAAAGAATTTATATGGCTCATGTCAAGTCACCTACAGGCATGTGTTCACTGAGTGAAATGGCAGAATTGCCACACTCAGTGAATTGTCCTTGCTCTTTACCAGCCTCCTCCTGCCCTGCACTGCTACCACCTCATCTTTTTTTTTTTGCTTTTGTGTTGGCAAAGAGGCAGTTGAATTTGTAGGAATTAAGTAAACATGATGAAGCTATCACTATTTTGAAAAAACACACCTTGTGAGATTTCTTTCCCGCTTTATGTGACAGGCAGTGTGGTGAACTCCTCACTTCTGTTTCATCTATTACCAAGTACCAGCATGGAGTTTTGGAAACTAACCTCAGCTCAAGTGGTGTGTCTAGGAAAAATCCTACTTCTCTTACAATGATGGGTTCAGCAGCAAGCACAGTGTATTAAATCTGACCAGGAAGTTAGCTAAAAGATTCCAAGAAAGTTCTGCACAAAGAACAGTAAGAAGTTGGTTTCCTGACCCCTGCCCAAGTGAATGTGTGACAACATGTAGCCCTAACTGCTACTGGCAGCCATCCTATCATCAAGAGGACTTAGCTCTAGGAGAAATACACTGAAGAAAATAGAACATTTTAGAGAAAATTTGGGTAGTGACAATGATATTTTTCCTACTAGAATACCTGCTCTGTGAGCTAAAAATTTTTCCTATCATTCAAATCAGTCTGAGTTGGGTTTTCTGTTATTTGCAACTCAAAGAATCATAAGTAGGTGCATTACCAATAGTACAAAACCAGTCTAGATTCCCTGTTGACTAATGTTCTAACATGATAATATAATTACTCAAAAAACAGGTAAGAGCACTGGCTTGTGAAGGACATGTCATATCAAAACAAAAAGACTCTATAGCAGTAAGAAATCCCACTCCCTCTTCTTTCATCAAAGGTGGCTTTAGACAGGTGCTCTGGTTTGGATCTGGAATGTCCCCAAGACTCAAGTGTTGAAGACTTAGTAGTTCTCAATGCAGCAAAAGTCCCACTCAGAGGTGGGACTTTCGGGAAATGATTGTCTCATGAGGGCTCTAACTTCATCGGTGGACTGGTCCATTGATGGGTTTAATAATCTGATGGTATTATGAGGAGGTAGTGAAACTGTAGGATGTAGGGTCTAGTTAAGAAATTAGGTCACTAGGGATACACCCTGGAAGGGCAATTCTTGTCCCTGGCCCCTTCCTGTTTCTCAGTTCTCTGCCATGAACTGAGAAGCTTCCCTTGGCCATACCTTTCACCATTATGTTCTGCCTCATCTGAGGCTCAAAGCAACCATGGACTGAAACCTCTGAAACTGAGTCAAAATAAACTTCCTCCTTTAAGTTGTTTATATCAGGTATTTTGGTCATAACAACGAAAAGCTGAATAACACAATAGGTTTTTACTCATCCTGATGTAATTACCTGACTGAAGTAGACTGCGATTCTGCAAATAGAATTTATATCCTCCTGGGGCCTCAATTTCAAAAACTCCTTCTGCAACTTCACTGAGTGGCCACTCCAGCTTCCTGGCATTGCTGACAGCCTGGCTAGAAGCAAGTGTGATTCCCTATAATAAACAATGAACACACCCACATATATAATCACAACAGACCTTTTACAGAACAAGGAGCCAAAGTCCACTGACTCTAGGTCAAATTACTTAAGATTTAATTGGCATTCCAAAATTTTCTCCTATTAATTTCAAAGTATGTTTTGGATGTTATCTCCCACAAAGATTCAGATGTTTTTGGATCACAAAAGAGAAATTCAAATGTCAGTAAATTATGAACTATTCAAATATTCAAGATCTAGGGCTGGGGTATAGCTCAGTGGTACAGTGCTTGTCTAGTATGTACAAGGCTCTTGGTTCAATACTCAGTTGAAAACCAACAAACAAAAAAATATTTTTTCAAGATGTAGCCAGAGAAATCTTGATCTTTCCTTGGCCTGTCAGCTACCTCTTCTGAGATTTTACTTATTTATTTATTTATAGGCCTGGTCTTGTTATGTAGCCTAAGCTGGGCTTGAACTTGGCAATATTCCTGCCTCAGCCTCCTGAGCCATTTTTTTTTTTAAGTTGTAGGTGGACACAATATCTTTATTTTTATGAGGTACTAAGGATCAAATCCAGTGCCTTATATATGCGAGGCAAGTGCTCTACCACTGAGCCACAACCCCAGCTCCTAATTTTTGCTTTTTGTTTAAAAATATTTATTTTTTAGTTGTAGTTGGACACAATACCTTTATTTATTTTTTATGTGGTGCTGAGGATTGAACCCAGGGCCCCCGCACTTGCTAAGCAAGTGCTCTATTGCTGAGCCACAACCCCAGCTCCCAATTTTTGCTTTTTATTTTAACTTTTTAAATTTAAAATTTTTAAATTTAAAATTTATTTTAAATTTAGGGCTTCCTGGTATTTGGTTTATTTGCAAATGTTGGTAGTAATGATAATGTGGTCTTCATTTTTGTGTAAAATTGGTAGAGAACCTAAATTTGAGGGGGAATAATGCAAACAAAACAATATAACATTTATATGAGGCTGAGAGGTAAGATCCTGAAGCTATGATGAGAGCCCAATATGTCTCTACTGAAACTTTGGGGTTTGCAGACACCGCTCAGAACAAGGGAGTATACTGCCCACTCCCATGTCCCCAGGAGGGGAGTCCTATATGGAAATAAAGGCCACCTCTGGGGTGCAGCTTCTGAGGTTCTGCCTCTGCAAGCAGAGCCTGGGCATCTGATAAGGACAGGTTCCAGCCCAGGACCAATTTTTGCTTTTAAAAACAACAAAAAATTAAACAATTAATGAACTTTTAAATTTATTCAAGTACTCAATAATGTACACTTGGGTCTCCTGAAAAGGCCAGCCTCATTTCTTTTTTAAATAATTTTTTAGTTGTAGATGGACACAATATCTTTATTTATTTATTTTATGTGGTGCTGAGGATCGAACCCAGGGCCTCACACATGAGAGGCAGGTGCTCTACCACTGAGCTATGGCCCCAACTCCTGCCAGCCTCATTTCTAATTTGGACTATAACAGTCTCTGCTCCAATCTGATCAATTTATCACCCACTGTGCAGCCACAGTAAACTTTCCAAAATGCACCCAATAGCCTGTTTTCAAGATAGATGCTGGACCTTGCTTTCTCCTCTGCTCAAAACCCTCAATAGCTCTTCATTTCACTCAGATGGATTATAATGGCCTAAAAAGGTTCCACCTAATCTGACCCCATCTCCTACCACCTTTCCCTGGTGTTCTCCATTCCAGTCACCCTGGTTTCCTTGCATTTCCACATGGCTAACTCCCTTACCTCCTCAGAATCTTTGCTCCAATGTCACCTCCTCATGGACTCACGGACTCAACAAATTCAGATTAAACAAGTCATCTATCCTAGCCAAAAATCTACTGGGATAGAATGATATTTACCATGAAGTCATTGCCCAGCTTGTAGTCTCCAATGCCATAATTGTAAGTCAGCTCTGCAACAAAATGATCATCCTCAGGCCCAAATCCCACCATTGTTTTACTCCATTTCCCATCATAAGGCCTAGAAAAATGAAAGTAAATGAACTCAGTTACCATAGGCAAAATCTGCTATAATCCTCCCTCAGAGAATTATGGGGCACAGAATGGTGGGCAATCCCTTCTGGTCCTAAAAGTTCTCATAAGGTTATGATGACCTCAGGAGTTGCTGAGAACAGCTGAGGGCAGTGCTCATGGGCTCCAACTATAAGCTTCAAAGATCATCTGTTTAGCACTTTACTGGAAGGAAAGATTCATTTACACCTTCATTTTTTGGCAATGGGGATTAAATCCATGGTCTTGTGAATGGTAAGCACTAGATAAGCATTCTACCACTAAGCTACATCCCTAGCCCTTTAAATATTTTAATTTTGAGACAGGGTCTTGCTAAGTTGCCCAGGCTGGTCTCAAACTCGTAATCCTCCTGCCATATCCTCCTTAATAGCTGGGGTTAAAGGCATGTTTGTTTACTTTTCTTTAAAGCAGAAAGTAGAATCCTAAAGAAAAAAAGAATACTAATTTCCAACCTAAGTTCCTAAGTTCTGAACTTAGTGTGTTTATTTGTATATAAATTAACAAGTACACAAATCCCAACAGACCTTGGAATTTTTCAACATGATGTTGCTATTAAACTTAAAAGATACTCAATAATCAATGTTTTATCCAGAGCACAGAGTGTTTATGGTGTAATATATCTGATTTCTGTCACAGAGGTCCTAAAATCCTTGGAATTTCCTGGTATTGGGGGTATCTTTCCTAGTAAGTCCTTTCCATAATGCCTGAGTTTATGATAATGAACTGTCTTAGAGTGGGGCCCTTAGAGAGCCCTAGAATAGGGCTGACTCCATAAAAATCAAGTAATTAAAGGGTTTGAAGTTTCAGCCCCACTCCCCTTTGGGAAGGGGAGGGGTTAGAGATTAAGCCCTAATAATCTGTGTAAAACTACTGAACAACAAAACTAGATGAGCTTCTGGATTGCTGAAAACATGGAAGTACTATGAGGGTGTATATCCAGAAAGAATATGGAAGCGCCACACCTCCCCTCTCCCATACTCTGCTCTATGCATCTCTCCTACTTGGCTGTTCCTGAGTTACAACCTTTATAATAAACCAGTAAATAAAAATAGTGTTTCTCTGAATTGTGAACCTTTCTAGCAAACATGTGAACTTGAAGAGGTAGTCATGGAAACCTCCAATTTATAATTTCTGGTAAATCAGAAATAGTAGAGGCCCAGACTTGTGCTGGGCAGCTATATTGGGGTAATCTTGTGGGAATCAGCCTTTTATTTGTGGGATCTGACACTAATTTCAGGTGGACAGATTAAGAATTTAGTTAAACAGTAGGACACCTACTTGGTATTGGGAGAGTTGGAGAAATGCCTGGTTTATCAGAAGTGCTATGTGAGAGTGCAGAGAAACAGGATGGTTTCCCCAGTGTTCTTCAAGTTACCTTCCTGATTTACTGACTCCTTCATGTATTCCATTTTATAGTCACTTTGAGAAACTGCCTTCTGTTCTCCTGGGGGTATTCAGAGCCTATAGGAGATTTAAGATACAAGATGTCATACCCATTACAGGCAGCTTTGCAGCCTTCTTCAAATTCCTCATGCCGCAGAACCTGGTAAGGGAATTAAAATAAATTGTAAGGTTTTACTAGTACTGCACATAGTATATTTAGTACAAACTAAAAGGTCAAAACACAGACATTACCATTTGTAAACTTTGTTTAAGAAAAAAAAGGAAAGGAAAGGACAGAGAGAAGAAGAGAAGGAAAAAGGAAGAAAAAGAAGAAAGGAAGGAAGGAAAGAAAAGCTTTATACCTTTCCCAAGCTAGAAGAGGTAAGGGAGAGCAGCTTGACACTAAGCTGCGAGCAAGCCAAGTTCTACCTAGTAAAATTCCACCTAGATTGGGAAGCAGTGCTGAGAGGGGAAAAGTGTGGTTTTTCAGCATCAGAAAAATCTGATTTGCAATTCTGGTTCTCAGCTAGCAGTGTGTAATTCTGAGCAAGCTGCTTAGGCTTGGAGTCTGTCTCCTCATGTGTTGGTGAAAATGGGTAACTTGTTAAAGCATCTACCATAGAACCTAATATGCATTAGATTCTCAGTGTCTTAATTTCTGTCCCTCATCTTTTTTTTTTTTTTTTGGTACCAAAAACTGAAAAGACACTTTACTATTCATCTACATTTCCTGATTAAATTTTGAGATAGGGTCTGGCTAAGTTGCTGAGGTTGGCCTTGAAATTGAAATCCTCCTGCCTCAGCTTCCAAAGTCCCTGGGATTTCAAACATGTACTACCATGGCCAGCACTGTTTTCCTTTTTGATTCCATGCCTACTGTTTTAGTTGAAGCTCCCATCATTTCTCTCAAAGACTACTATTAGGCTGGGCACAGTGATACACATCTGTAATCCCAGGAACTCAGGAGGATTCCAAGTTTGAGGTCAGCCTCAGCAATTTAATGAGATTCTCTCAAAATGAAATGGGCTGGGGACATATCTCAGTAGGAAAGTGCCCCTGGGTTCAATCCCCAGAATCAAAGCAAAACAAAACACAGAACAAAACAAAACTCTACTATAATCTTCTTCCTTTATACCACCATAAAAGTGTCTCACTAAAGAACACTTCTGCTGGGTGCAGTACACGCCTGTAATCCCAGCAGCTCAGGAGGCTGAGGCAGAAGGATCTTGAGTTTAAAGCCAGCCTCAGCAGTTTAGCGAAGCCCTGAGCAACTCAGTGAGACTCTGTCTCTAAATAAAATACAAAAAGGGTTAGAGATGTGGCTCAGTGGTTAAGTGTCCCTGGGTTCAATCCCCAGTACAAACTATAAATCATTTCTGATTACATCACTACCTTATTTAAAAAAAAAAAATTGGGGGCTGGGGTTGTGGCTTAGTGCTCTTGGCACGTGTGAGGCCCTGGGTTTGATTCTCAGCACCACATATAAATAAACATTAAAAAAAATTGATCTCCCTATTTACTGCAGCATCAAATCCAAATTTTCAAGCCCAGTATTCAATACACTATCAGAAGCAATCCCAATCTATTTGTCTTGATATCCCATCTCTTCAATTTCAAGTAGATAAAGGCACATAAATAGTGGTGTTTCCAAACATATCTTTGCATCATCTACTCAGTTCTTCTAGTATAACTCACTCCTTCCTCTGATTTTTGATTCTTGGAAATACTATTTCTATATTCTATAAGTCAACTTGAATGTATAGTCTTCATGTATTATTTCTTAAAGACTCAAGTTAGAAAACCTTGCCTTTTTAATTTTTCTAATACTTCTAGAACATACATATCTAAGGGTCAAATACCTTCTAGATTTTTTAAAAAAATTTATTTAGTTGTAGATGAACACACAGTATCTTTATTTTTTATATGGTGCTGAGGATGGAACTCAGTGCTTCACACGTGAGGCACATGCTTTACCACTGAGCTACAGCCCCAGCCTCTCAAATACTTTTTCTTTTTTTTTTTTTTGGTGGTGGTGCTGAGGATTGAACCCAGGACCTTGTGCATGCAAGGCAGGTACTCTACCAACTGAGCTATAACCCCAGCCCTCAAATACCTTCTAAATAACATGTTTAATCTTCACAACAGCCCTTTAATCAATGAGGGAAAACAGTAAATAGAGCTTTGTGGTTTTCTGCTCTCATTTACTAAGACATTAATTCTGACTTTTACTACTGTTAGCTAGGTACAAATTCAATCTCCATCTCCACCTCACCCCTGACCATAAGCTCTAGTTGTGGCTAGATATCAAAATCTTTTGCAAGTCTGTCACCAAAACTCAACACAGTACCCTGAAAAAATATTTCACTGTACTAAACCTCAACCCTTTTTTGAGACAGGGTCTCACTAAATTGTTCAGGCTGGCCTTGAACTTGTGATCCTTCTGTCTCAGCCTCCTGAGTAGCTGGGATTACAGGCCTGCACCATCCTGCGGGCACTGCATATATTTTTTTAAACCACTGATGTACTCAGGTAACTCCCTTTGCACTCCGCGTCTTCTGTACTGTTTCTACACAAAACCACTCTTGGCTCTAACAATGCCTTCAACACTGGTGTGTACTCTCCTTCCCTGACTTACTAGGAGTTCCCTAAAAACCTCCTTCCATGTTCTCAGGTGAGCGACCCCTGAAGAATCACAGCTTCTCAGAGCTGGAGACATGCAATTTGGAGCCAGTGGGGAAGAGAATGGATTCTGACCTCATATTTAGGCCTGGATTGTTGAAAGGAGAGTCGACGATTTATCCAGAGAGACGAGAGATATCGAGAGAAACCATACAAACTAGCCCTGACCAAAGCAAAACTCTGAATATGCTGATTATCTACCCAGAAAGGCTCCAATACCAGAAGAGACTGCGTTATTGTTCATTGGAAGAATATTATGTAAGTTTTTGGTTGTTTATTATCCTTCACAGTACACTGGAAGCTCCCCAAGGCAGACGCTCAAAAATATTTGTGTATATAAGTGAAAACACGTGCGCATAGCTAGCAGGTCAATCCTTTTTTGTAACGCCCACCGCGGTGGCCCACGCCTGTAATCCCTCCGGAGGCTGTAGCAGGAGGATCCCAAATTCGAGGCCAGTCGGGGCTATTTGGCGAGACACTGCCTCAACTAAAATTTAAAAAATTAAAAAAATTTTTTTTTAAAAAAAGGTTGGCCATGTAGCACAAGTAGTAACGCGCTTGTAGAGCATTGCGAAGCCCTGGGCTCGGCCTCCAAAAAAAAGAAAAGAAAACACAAAACAGTACCTAACCCGTAACCGGGGACTCAGCGCTTCCAGAAGCTGAATACCCGGCAGGGTTAATGGGAGAATCCGGGGCCCAAGGTCCGACGCCCGGGTTTAGGTTCACCTCACACCCTTTACCCCCTCCTCTGCCAGGCACTTCCAGCCTCGCGCGCCAGCCCCTGTCGGCCCCAGCCTGCACCTTCATCCCCAAGACATCTCGAAAGAAATGTGTCGTCTGGAAGCGGTTTCCCACTTTGAAAACGAAGTGCAGAGCTCGACGACCAGCCATGACTCCCAATGCCACACCGCCAGCACTCAGACAGCGACGCCCCACCCACAGACGGCGCCGAGGGCGGGTGACGTCACTGGTGATGGACGGCGCGCTTTCCTGACGTGACCCGCGGTACGGGAAAGATGGCGCTGCTGGTGAAGAACGTGTGTTCTTCTGTGCGACCGTGGCTGCCAGTGGCCCAGACTTGGGATCTCAACGCGCGGCGCTGGGTCCGGGCATTGCGGCGGAGCCCCTTGAAAGTGGTGTTTCCATCCGGAGAGGTGGTGGAGCGGAAGCGCTCCCCTCGGAAGCAGCCCCGCGAGGCGGCGTCTGAGGCGCATGCCCAGGGGCAGCGACCGAAACAGCCGCTTCAGATGTCCCCATCCCCTTCTCCGAGTACCTGGGAAGAGGCAGGACTTCGCTACGATAAAGCTTTTCCTGGGGATCGGAGGCTGAGGTGATGTGTTTCTGACACTTGTCTACTCCGGTGTTTTTTTTTTTTTTTTTTTTGCTGCACAGTGGAAATCAACCTCCTCGTCCCGGAGGAGTTCTTCCAGAACAACCCTCTGGTTTTATTATTTTTATTTTTGCATTATGCAGAATAAGTGTCTCCTTTGGAATTCGTTTTTGCCTCTGCGAAGCTTTTTATGTCTGTTAGAAATTAGGTGTGTCTCAGTATAAGAATGTTGGTCATCAGCCCTCTTTTTGTTTCTACTTACAGCAGTGTAATGACAATAGTTAAGTCCAGGTCGTTTCGGGACAAACAAGGGAAGATACTACTGGAAGGTCGCAGGCTGATTGCAGATGCTCTGAAGGCTGGAGCTGTGCCAAAAGTTTTCTTCTTTAGCCGCCTGGAATACATAAAGGAGTTGCCAGTTGATAAGTTGAAAGGTGTAAGCCTCATTAAGGTGAAATTTGAGGATATCAAGGATTGGTCCGACCTAGTAGCACCACAAGGAATAATTGGTCAGTGGTTACACAATGTGTCACTAGATGTGAATTTCTTGTTCATATTTGTCTTAGGGCAGCAGATTTTATTTAAATCAAATTTAAAATGTTACTATCAAATCTCTTCTTGGAGGCTTTGTACCTGTGATGCCTTTGCAAAGAATTCTAAATTTTTCATTGTATTATCGTTCAGGGAAGTAACTTATTGGAACAATTATATATAGCAAGATGCTTATGATATTTTAAAAACTGTACAGTCCTTTGGGAGCATGCTTACAAAGAACATTGAATCTTTATTTGATATTAGTTTATATATAAAGAGCTTAGAAGTTTTGTTTGTTTTGGGGACTGGGAATTGAGCCCAGAGGAACTTTACCACTGAGCTTCAGCTGAAGCCCTTTTTATTTTTTTTATTTTGAGAGAGGGTCTCCTTTTTTTTTTTTTTTTAAAGAGAGAGTGGTGAGAGAGGAGAGAGAGAATTTTTTTAATATTTATTTTTTTGTTCTTGGCGGACACAACATCTTTGTTTGTATGTGGTGCTGAGGATCGAACCCGGGCCGCACGCATGCCAGGCGAGCGGGCTACCGCTTGAGCCACATCCCCAGCCCCCAGGGTCTCCCTTGTTAAGGTGCAGAGGTTACCAAGGTTGGTCTTGAATTTGTGATCTTCCTGCCTTAATCTCTTCAGTAGCTGGGATAACAGGTGTTGCACCACTGCACCCTGCTAGGATTCTTGTTTTTCCAGGTATAAACAGGTGTTTTATGTGCTTCAAATGTGAACAAACTAGAATAGGCTGTGGGGAGGACAGTTTGGTATCACTTGTTAACAGTAAGAGTGTATTTATACCAATTGTCCTTTTCACTTATGGGTGTTTATTTTCAGACACATACACATAGAGTCATACAGGAACATTCATTATAGCATTGTTTGTAAATAAGGAAAATTTGAAATAATTTAACTGTCATTGGAAGAGCTAAATGAACTGTTGTATATCCTTATTACAAAATAACATGCAAGCCAGGCGTGGTGACACATGCCTATAATCCCAGCGGGAGGCTGAGGCACAAGGATTGTGAGTTCAAAGCCAGTCTCAGCAATGGTGAGGGGCTAAGCAACTCAGTGAGACCCTGTCTCTAAATAAAATACAAAATAGGGCTGGGATGTGGCTCAGTGGTCGAGTGCCCCTGATTTCAATCCCTGGTACCAAAAATAAATAAATAAATAAAAAATAAAAAAATAACATGCAAGACAAGAATAAGGTAGCTTTAAATATACATGGTCATTTCTTTAAGACATGTTATTGAGTGAAATAAGTTAATTGCAGAATAATACATTGAGAGTTTTTATATGTTAATTAAAAGCACCTATATATGGACAGATGTCCCTGTATTTAGGTAGATGCATAATGTTTTGAAAGCATACACTACAAGATTGAAAACAGATGGGGCAGCCAGGGGATCAGCACTGGTAGAATTTTATGTTGTTGGAATTTTTTTAGTCAGAATGTATTCACATATTTCCTATGTCTTTAAAAAGACATAAAGAATAAGTAAATGGAAAATCAATTATTTCCCACATCAAATAAGTGAACGTCCATGTTGTTTCCTCAGGGATTTTTGCCAAACCTGACCATGTCAAAATGACATATCCAGAGACTCAGCTTCAGCATTTCCTGCCCTTATTTTTGATTTGTGACAATCTCCGTGACCCTGGGAACCTGGGGACAATTCTGAGATCTGCTGCTGGGGCAGGCTGCAGCAAAGTATTACTAACTAAAGGTAAGAGCACCTGTTACTAGGTAGCTTGCTTGGTTGGGACTCTGGGCAGACATGCATAGGTCTGAATCTTGGATCTGCACCTTACTAGATGTGTGTCCATGAGCAATAATACTAAGTGTCAGTTCTCTCATCTCTGAAGTGAAAATAGTAACAGAATCTTACTCATAGGGTTGTTCTGAGGAGTGCTTGAGATGATACAAATAAAGTACTTCGCTCCATGCCTTGCTTGGAGTCATGTAAAATAAGTCAGTAAATGTTGATTTTCTTTTAAAGTTATTTGAAACCTGTTAGGTTATTAAAGAAAAAAATTTTAATCAGGGCAAAAAATTTTAACACTTGGTTTTAGGTCTTGTATTTAATGATTTTGAGTGGGTATAAATTAAATTAAATTTTGAATTTTGTGAAAAGAATGAGTCAATGGTGTGATTATGCCTTTGTAATACATTTCCCGTAGCCTCAGGTGGGTCACACAGTCCGTCCACATGCTAATTAACCAGAAATGGGGATTACTAGGTTTGGTTCTAAACAGACCTGCCAAACTCATGGGATGTGCCCAAAAGACCTGTTCCACCTTGGGAGTGGAGGAGAGGGAAAGCATCATTCATCAGAAACACTCAAGCTACCATTAAATACACTAATAATGGCAGCCATTGCTGAGACTTGCCTAAATTGCTTGTTCCAACTCTTCCCAGTCACACCCTGTTGGAGTATATTTCTCTGCTGGTGTGAGAGCTAGGTGCTGTGATTCCTTTATGAGTAGCCAACAGTAGGTGTTGAGCGCTGTGATAGGAGAGATGGTTTTGGAAATGTGTTTATATAATCCAAGCGGTGTGGTTTTTCATATCGATAGTGGTGGCTGGTCTAAAAGAGGTAGGGAAAGAAAGAGTAGGAAATACTTGGTATGGTGCCCAGTGTCAAGGACATGAGGAGAAGGGGGAAAGTCTCACCTTTTCCTTATTCCCCGCTAGGTGAGGGGGTCAGACTAGATAGCTCCTCACAGGTGTGGGCCCATCCTCTAGACCCTTTCCCTCACCTCTTCGCCTGTAGCCCAGCTCCCATCTCTGGTCCCTGCCATGCATGAGAAAGCCCATAGGTGGGGGTATGTGTGGGAACTCTCATGTTCTCAGTTTCTTTTATAGTCCTTCCAAAATGCTGTCTGCCTAGTTAATATGTCCAAATCTGACAAACTGACTTTTAAAATAACTTCTCATGAGGAGACTTGTGCTAACAAGTTAGGGTAGCAATATGTGTGATATAGTCATGAGGAGGTACCCTGGTTGTGCCATCTCTTCCCCCTTGCCTGTGATGAGTAGACACTGGGAAAGATCAAGTATCTGCTGTGCATGGGAGTGGTTGGGCCTAGCACTTGACTATATGTAGAAGAGTAGGTTTGCTAACCTTACCATAATATGACAGAAGAGATGTATTTGAGTGACAGAACTGCGGTTCAGGTTCATTTCCCCCTGAATTGCTGCACCGACCTCCTACCTTAATTCCTTATCTCTAGTGTGGGAAATCTGTTCCAATCCAAATTGAACATTGAAGTCAAATGAGTCTGTCTGAACCATAAATCAGGTTCTGTCACTGTTTTGCTGAAAATCCTTCAGTACCTTATACTGTCTTCTGAAAAAAATCCAAACTCTTCAGCTTCACATCCTTGGCCTTCTATACACTGGCCACTGCCTGCCTCCTCTCTCTTCTCCCACCCTCCACCCCCACCATCAACTCCAGTTCTTAGACATTCTCCCCTTCTCTGACTTTGTTCTCTACCTGGGCCTTTCTCTTACAACATCCTCTTATCCTTCAAGACCCAGCTCAGTGTCATGGTCTCTTAGACATTTGGTGTTTTTCCTGAAAGACTGCTTTATATCAGGGAGTTCTCTATTATCCTTTTTATGCTTCTTTTACATTGTCATTAATATTCTAATTACCTGATTAGATATTGTCCCAGCACCACCAACCACTGTACCCTGAGTTCCTGGATATTGGGTGTTTTAATTCCTGTTGAATCCCCTGGTCAGTGCCTGTATGTATGAACAATGTCAAAGGGATGCATAGAATCCCTCTTCAGCACTAGCAGGGATTAATCCTGCAGTCCCTTTGCTGGACACTGCCGTCACTGGGAAGGCTCTGGAAGGTACCAACTACCAAGAAGGCTCCACTGGGAAACACTTTTGCTTTATTTTCTGGTCCAGAATTAATCTGATTTACTCCAGAGCTTCCACTCTGAGACTTATGAAATCTTGATTAAATCTTCTTTTTTGTTTTCTAGGCTGTGTGGATGCCTGGGAACCCAAAGTGCTACGGGCAGGCATGGGGGCACATTTTCAGGTGCCTATTATCAATAATCTGGAATGGGAAACAGTACCCAATTACTTGCCCCCTGACACCCGGGTCCATGTAGCAGACAACTGTGGCCTCTATGCTCAGGCCCAGATGTCTACTAAAGCCAGTGATTATGGCTGGGTGTGTGATCGACGATTTCTGAAATTTCACAAGTTCCAGGAAGAGGATATAGAAACTGGAGACAGTAAAGACTGGCTTCCTGAAATTGAGGTTCAGAGTTATGACTTGGACTGGACAGAGGCACCAGCAGCTGTGGTGATAGGTGGGGAGACCCATGGCGTGAGCCTGGAGTCCCTGCAGTTGGCTGAGAGCACTGGGGGCAAGAGGCTGCTGATCCCTGTTGTGCCTGGTGTGGACAGCCTGAACTCGGCCATGGCTGCAAGCATCCTGCTTTTTGAAGGAAAAAGACAGCTAAGGTTAAGGGTGGAACACTTGAACAGGGACAGGACCTACCACTGAAAAAGGGGGCCGAAGTTGTGTTTGAGGATGCCTCCAGCTCCTGCAACCCCAGCATACTGGATGGAGGCTGGCAGAGTTGGTTAACTGGCTTCCTGGCCATATTCAGGAGGCAAGAGGTAGGCATTGCTGCCATCATACAGCGTCGGAAAAATAGGAATTTCTTAAGTTTCTGCTTTTCCTCATAAATAAAAAGGTCAAAATTCTTCCTGAGATCTCCCATCTCTCTACGAACTTTGAGGGTATGTGTATGTGTGTGTGTGTGTTTGGTAATTAATTATGTGGCTCTGGATATACCTAATTTAATTGTGTACTGTGGCTGGGTTGTAGCTCAGTGGTAGTGCTTCCCTGACACGTATGAAACCCTGGGTTCCATCTCCAGCATGGGGGTGGGGGGCCAGGAGACCACTAAGAAGCATTTTTTTTTTTGCCCCGAAAGTTCCCAAAGACTGATTGGTATTTTACAGTCATCAAGTATTGGTTATGGGTCATGGTTAAGCCACCTCTGCCTGATAATTGGTCAGTGGAAAATAAACCTAGAACCAGCATTTAAGTGTGGTCAGTGGGTCTCAGTGTCTCTTCATTTTGGGCCTGCTGAGGAGGGCATTGCTAAGAGGAATAACCCAAGAAGCAAATGGCTGCGAGTCATGGAGCAATAGCTAGCTGGTCTTGAAGCTTGGATATGTCCACCCCTGGGGTCTGTGTAGACCTCACTTCAATAGCCACTGTTATGTATATCCCACCCACCTTATGCCAATCTTTAGAAACAGCTTGATTCATCAGGTGTTATCATCTTCTTAGCACCTTTGCAAATGTTTTTTGAGGACTCTGTAGAACAGGAAGAAATTGACCAAATCTGCAGCTTAACCCTGCAGCAGTGGGGAAAGCATCTCCCTTTTTACTACTTTCCTGTTGTTAATCCTATTTTATGTAAAGTTGTTTAAATGTAATAATATACTAAGGTACACCCTTCCCCCTACACAGAATGACAGAACTGCTCAGGAACGTGCCAGCACGCTTGGGTGCTGTGTGAACACAGGAAGGGTGGGTGTGAGGTTCTGAGAGCTTGGAGCCCTGGGAACTACAGCTTTGCTGCAGGACCCCCTGCAATTCTCTTAAACCCCCAGGGGACCAGGACAAGTTACATCCTTACTTACCAGGTGCCATCCAGGATATAGCCAGGGAGGTGCAGATGGTAATCACCATATCTAATGACTGGCTGTGAACTAGTGTTAGGACTCAATCCAGACACCACTTTTACAACTATAAATATAGGGTTGGAGTTGAGGACAACAGTAGGAGTGTAGTTGAACTATATATACCCTTTGGTACAGTGGTTCCTGTAATGATTTGAACTCCTTAGCTGCTCATTCCAGAGAGGTGGAGTGGGTTGCCAGCATGCTCAAGAGATACCATGGACCCCCTTTCCTTCCCTTTCTGCTTTTCCAGCTCCCTAGTAAAAACTTCTTCCTGGGAGAACTAAATGTGGGTGTGGGTATGTGCTGAGTGATATTGGAAATCAACTTTCACTTGGCAGGTGGTATTGCTTTGGCCTGTTGGGAGAGGGGTGTTTGTAGTTTGATTGGCTGTGTCTTCCTCATCAACATCTTTGAAAAGTGCTAGAGAAAAAGAAGTCATACACTTGTGTCTTTCCCACCTGAAGCCAACTTCTTGTAATTTGTGTCCGTAGATGGTGTTCTTGCTGGGTTTTGTTCAAAATTAAAATCAATGAAAGAACAAACTACATCCTTGAGAAAAAACAGCAATGCAAAACACTGGCAAATAACTCTTTAGCCCAGTTTTCATCCTGACTGTAAAAGGGGGAAAAGGAGTTGGTGTGCCTTTGACGTGATAGTCGGTGGCTTCTCCACAATGTCTGTGAGTTCTTTTTGTACATTCATAGGTATAACCACCCTGGCTGCTGGTGAGAAGGGGAGGGGTGGAAGGCACGCTGTCCTTTCTCTTAAATGACTGCAGGAGAGCAAATGGTGGTTAAGTTCTTATCTGCTGAGTGATACTGGAAAACAACTTTCATGAATTTTCGAATTTGAGGCCAATGTTTGTTCGGTCACCACCTTTGCAGTGAATAGGAATAAATTGAACAATACATGACAAGAAAAACACTGGGCTGAAAGGTAAACCTTGTGGGATGCTGGCCAGGCTCCTTGCCTTTGTCCCGAGGCACAGCTGCAGCAGTGGTTTCTGCCACGAGGTGGCGGGCTGCACTTCAGAACCACCCCTAAAGCCGGAGGGAGGGGTCATGATCTTTCTCAGATTTAAGTTGCTTAAAAGGAGAAGGATAGAGTCAAGTATCTCTCTACCAAAGAGTAATTGCAAGCTCACAGTTGTCAAAGACCCATCCAGACTGGCTCATGTAATCTTAGTAGAAGCAAGAATATGAAATTCAGGAGGACACTGGACCAAAAACTCTAAACTAAGTGGACAGAAATGGGAACTAACAAAACTGCTACAGCTTTTCGCTCTAACAGTTTCTGAGAGAGCAGCTCTGTGCAGAGGCCAATGTCCCAATGGGCCCAAGTCTTACTGTGGGAGTGTGCTTGGCCCTTCAGTTAGTGCTACACAGCAGGGAGCGCAGAAATCTTTCTCCCCTGCCCCACCCTGGCTGCTGGCTTCTGGTTAGGATACTGTTCATTAATGAACAGTATGGAGCTTCCGACACTTGTCCCAGGGTTCACATCAACTCCAGAGGCCACCGCCATCCAAGCTGAGCTGCGTTTAGATCCACTTTTGTGATTCCTCCATGCAAAGATCCCAGAAACAACACCCATCCAAGGTTCTCTGGATAGTGCTGAAAACCACCAGCTGTACTGCAGAGCTTGGGGCTCCCCTCTTGGTCCCTGCCACTCCCTCAGGAGCAGACTTCACTTGAGCTCACTTTTGTTTTCTCGAGGAAGCACTCATTGTCACTTAAATTCTGAGATCTTATTTCTTCGATTTCCCCATGAGATTGCACAAATAAATGAGAAACAAAATTAATGGATGAACTACGTCTCTTTAACTAAGGAACCATGTCACATCTGAGCAGCTGAGATGGCAGCTGTAAGCCAAGTCCTTCCTGGGAGTCTTAGGAAGCATTGTTGACGCTCAATGGCCAAGCATGATGGAGACTCCCAATGTGATATGATTGGAATCAGTTCTGTTCTTCCTACTCTCAAAAATCCCTGATTGTGTAAGAAGAGCTCCTTTTCTCAGATAATTCTCAACCGATGCCAAAGGTGCTGCTTTCTCAAAATGCAAGGGAACACAGATTGAGGAAGAGGTGGGAAAATGACTGCTGCAGGGTCCAACCTCAGCCTCCCTTGTATCCCTGGAATGAAGGAAGCATGTGCTGACTGCGAGCCTACAGAGTGGCTCTTGGTAGACTGGGGACTCTCAGTTCCTCTGATGTCCAAAGATCAATTTGGGGGAAACTTGGCTCCTAAGACCATGTCTCTTATGGTTTTCCCATTCCAGTTCATGTGGGTGACTTATTTGTATAAAGCATGAGCACCCAAGAATCTAGACCTGAGGCTACTCTGCCTGGCTCGGGCTGTACATTGGCCTATAGAGATGGAGGCTTTCCAGAATCTGCACATTATTTTAATGGAAATCCAAATGTCCCTCCGAATGAGTTCCACCCACCCCAAATAACACATTTCCTGGTTAAGGAAGTGTTCTAAAACACCAATGGGGTGAGCCACACATAAGCCTTGAAAAATGGGGCATATTTACTTCATCCTTTTGCATATAAGGTACCTAGAACTTCTTTGTCATATATCTCCCAGTAGAAGAAACCCCATCATAAAGCAGAACTCAATATAAAATTTTACATATAGCCTTTTGTTTTCTGGAAACACAAGCTCACACCACACATGCTGAGGCCAGTGACACTAATAACAAAGCTCCCATCCACAGCTACTTGCTCCCCACCCTCCCCAAATTTTCCCTTCAGCAACCTACTTGAAGGAAAGGACACATTCTTGTCACTCTCTTGTCCCTGTTGGCATTGGGAAGAGGGATGTTGGCGAGGTGATTACTTCAGCACAATTGTTTTGGGGCAGCCTTGAAAGTCTGCCTAGGCTTGGGGTCCCTAGGTCAGTTCCTAGTTCCCAAGGCAGTCTTTCTTAGAGGAACTTCTGGGGGCACTCCTGAATCTCTGTAGCCTGTGAGCATTGCTACCCCAAGATCTATAAAACAGTTGCACTCTCGAACTATCCTGAAGCACGGGCCTGCCCAGGCTGGCCAGAGAAATAGCATTGTGTACAGAATGTGTGTCCCTCCCTAGTGACTGGGTAGGGCAGGACCTCATGCTCACTGAGGCCCCTCCCAATGCTATAATTTCTTGTGTGCAGCATTTCTGCCTGTGACTTCACATGTCCATGGTTTTCTTTCTAGCTAAATAGTACAACACCACATAGTACTGCCAGCCTGTCCCCAGGCCACATCCTGCTGTTTCATTGCTGAATTCAGTTTGCTGCCCTGCAGAAGGGCAGGAGGAGTGGGGAACAGCTTTTTAGTGTCTTTAATTAGGCAATAGAGAAAAACAAAGTCTGGCTGAAAATTACCACTTGAAGCTTGTCCGATGCCAAGAAAATAGCACTGGCTCCCGAAGCCGGAATAAATGCTAGCCATTGATTTCAAGGACATGTGTGTGTGTGTGTGTTGGGGGTGTGGGGGGGTTAGTAGCACAATACCACCTGACTCCTGAAAAGGAAGCTGGTTTCCTCTGCCCAGTGTACATACCAATCCCAATACACCCCATTTCCTTAAACAGATCTTTAATGTAGGAAGACAGTTAAAAAAAAAAAAATCTCATCTCTATTGTGAGAATGGCAACTGGAGGTCACTGTTGTGAACACAAATCTGGGAACTCCAGGGTGGCATTTCTATAGCCACCTTCCTGTCTCAACCGGCAGGACATGGTTCTCCTTGCATATGTCACAGCTGGGGTGTTTAACCTGCTTCCAATTAGCAATGAGACTTATAAGGTATCATGGAGCTGCTTGGTGAGAATTATCCCGCTGCCATTTGTCTGCATCAATGACCTTTAGGATCTCCTGCACCATGGAGAAGGGAATTTTTCATTGGCACCGTGAAGTGAGTCTTCCCTAATATTTTCCTCCAATGTAGCCATGGTATAGACCTAAACCTTTTTAATAAACCTTCCCACTGAGCTTAACTAAACTACACATGTGCTCTAAAAGGGGAATTCTGGTGACAGGGATCTGGATGACATTAGTAGTTAGTACTTCAGAAAAGTCAGCCCAATACAGGCCACTAAAGTAACACAGATGACCAATTTTTCTGTTGCAATGACAGCAACTCCTCACTGGACTCTGTTCCTTCTGTCCTCACAAAAAAAGCAGCTTCAAAGAGGGTCTCCTTTCCTCCAAGGCAGTCATGACCTAGGGCAGGGACACAAATTCTATACATCTTCCAAGGGAGAGCCTAATCTTGTACCCTCATCTGCCTCACCCTCTAAGGGACAATGGTAGAATTTCTAGAGAGGCCTCTAGCCTTAGGACAGAGCTAGACTTGGGCAGCCCCAACTCTTACCCTATTCTTCACAGGGAGACCCCTGCAGGAGTCCTTGTGTTTTCCCAACCCGCAATCTCAAGAGCGGGGAATGTCCATAACAATGTCTATAATCTAGGGATTCACCTTGGAGCAAGTACCAAGCCAAAGGGATGGTGACCTGAGCTCCTGGAGGCATCTGTCTCTGGCACTCTAATCAAAATCAGCTTTCTGGCTTCTGGAAACCAAGATGATTTGACAGATGGCCATCTTCTTGGGTTTTTTTTTCTTATCCCCCTCAGTACCAGGAATCAAACCCAGGGCCTTCTTGCACATGCTAGTCAAGTCCTCTACCACTGACCTCTTGGGATTTTAGAAAATTCTGGAACATGGCTACTAGAGGTTCTCTATGCCTTTCCTTCCACTGCCCACCCTCTAATAGAGCACTCAAGTGAAAAATATTTTTATTATTAAGAACAGGGAAGGCCACTAGATGGTAATGTCCAGAGATGCCTGCTTTATTTCTTACTAGGTGATTGCATTTCAGGCTGGCAACATCAAATAGTCTAATCACCAACTAATTTTGTACCTCTGAACTATACAAATAAACAATCCAATTTAGCAAGGAACACTGTCAACAGCTTATGGGTGGGTTGTGGGGTTTTCCAAATAAATTGTTTTGGTTGGCAGATGGCAGAGTTGAGTCAAGGGTAAGGCCTTGGACTGTTTAAAGGCTCTGACACCTGACTGAGATAGGCTAAACCCCTGTGAATCTCTGGGCCAAAGTCTCTCACCCTAAATGTTTCCCCTTTTGTGGCCAGTTCCACTCAAACAAAAGGGCAAGTTACCTAGTCCTAGCAAAGGGTAGCAAAGGGTACCCACGGCCTACTTTTAGCTGACACGCCCTCTGTCCTCCCTCCTGCCTGAGAACACAGCTTCTTCTGAAGATTCTTAAAGACAAGCTAGATTTCTAGTAAATTCTTGCTTTTCAGTTCTGCTTTGAAAAGAAAAGGGAGTGACAGGGGAAACTGAAAAGGATGCAGATGCCTCAGCAAAGATCCAGTGGCCTCAGGCACAGAGCTGGGCCACAGATCTGTGCAGCTGAGCATGGCTCCTCTAAGAACTCAGAGCCAAGTTTCTTGGAAAGATATCAAGGAGAAGAATTCAAGAACAAAATTCCCAGAGAGTAGAAGCTGTCTGTATGAGCAGGCAAAAACCTGGAGAAGGTCAAGACCAAGGAAGAAAGAGATAAAAGGAAGGAATGCAAAACTCTAATCATATGGTAGGAGCTCAATAAAACTAAGCAATTATATGAATCATTACCTTAGCTACTTGTTTTCTCACCAAAAAAACCCCACACACTTCGTTTTAGATTTGGGAGTCCCCTGCCCAAGAACCCACTGATAAACTGCTGTTTCTCCCTCAGACCAAGAAAGACTATATCTACGTCCCCTATAAAAGGATACTCTCCCCAACAGCTCTGAGCTGATGTCTGCTGAGGCCACGCCCTTTCTCTGCTCCACCAGCATGTGCGTGTGCATGTGGAGCAGCTCCCTTCTGGCTGTTTTGTGTGCGTGCTGACTCCAGAGCCAGAACCCCAATTCGATGTCTCTGCATGCTTATTGTGCAGAATACCCTGAACAATCCTTCACCAAGAGCTAGTGACCTGGAGAGAGTGCTGCAGTCCCAGTTCTGGCCCGGTTATGCCATCCCTGTGAATGCCAGGCAGAATCTCCAAATATGACAGATTCTGCTGCTGCTGTGAGGATGTGCACCCTTGGGTGCTAGTGAGGAGTTAATGCAGAAACAAGGCACCACAGAGAGGTTGGAAATTTGGGTTGTGTGATTTAGGACCTGCTGGAAAAGTCCAAGGGCAGAGGGGAAGAAGGGGAGGAGGAGGAGAATGAGTCTTAAATAAGGTCTCAAGAGGCTGGAGCCCCACTAGATGGGCTCTGGCTTGAGCTTTTCTGCTAGGAAGTCATTCACAAAGGCCTCCACAATGGCAGGGGTGATCTCCTCCACGTCCATCACATACTTGGCCCGGGCTGACATGTCCAGAATGGTGAGCAAAGGGGCAGCTTCAGGCAGGTTGGTGTAATCTCGCAGGGAGTCAGTCATGTCATCCTGGAAGTCACCAGAGGGGAGAGAAAACCAGTAAGTTTTAAAAAGAAGAAGTCCTCTGGGCCCCGTCTCCCCAGACTGCATGGAATGGGACAATTCCATCATCCTGAAGAGCAGGCTCCCCTCAAGGAGAGATGGGTTCTTAGCATAGGCAGCAGGAGACCGTGCCCTGTTGTGGGGAGACCACTTCAAAAAATTCCCTTAGATCCCCCAAGCCACCAAGCAAATCATCTTTATTAGCATGAAAGCAACTCTGGTTATATCTTCTGCTTTTTAAAAATGTGATGTCTTTTGATTGCTTATTTTTGCAAGCAACTCTCAATTACTTGCTAACTCTACTGTGGCTTATCTGAGGCCATCTGAACTTCAATTCTGGAAAGTTTTTAAACAGAAACAACTCACTACCCCCCCCCCCACCCATGGTTTCAAAGAAGGCAAGAGGCACATAGCTGGCCAACTCTAAACATAGCTTCGCAAGCACCAAGGTTACGCTGCTTCACTGTATTTGTTTGAGAAGGACATGGACACTTTCTTGTGCATTCCCAGCAGCTGTGTGGGTGAACTTCCCTCATATCAGATACTGCCTGATTCAAATATAAAGGCAAACACAAATCCAAAGACAAGAAAAAGGTTTTGTCAGGGAGCAAACATTTAAGGTTACCTTTCATGACACTGACCCCCATGAGGTAGGTAACAGTCAATGGACTTTACATACCCATCCTGAAGTCATTTCCCTACAAAATGCACAATATTCTAAACCCAATGAAAAAGACAGACACTGTTATGGTTTGGATATGAGGTGTCCCCCAAAAGCTCATGTATGAGACAACGCAAGAAGGTTTAGAGGAGAAATTATTGGGTCATGAGAGCCTTAACCCAATTAGTGAATTAATTCCCTGATGGGATTAACTGGGTGGTAACTGAAGGTGGGTAGGGTGCGGCTGGAGGAGGTGGGCATTGGGGGCATGACTATGGGGTGTATATATTGTATCCAGCAAGTGGAGTCTCTCTATGCTTCTTGATCACCATGTGAACCACTTCCCTCTGCCACACTCTTCCACCATGATGTTCTGCCTCACCTTAAGCCCCATGGAATGGAGCCTGCTCTCTATGGATTGAGACCTCCGAAACCATGAGCCCCTGAAAAAACTTTACATCCTAAAATTTTTCTTGTCGGATCTTTTAGTTAAAGTATCAAAAAAACTGACTAAAACAAACATTTTGCAGAAAAGGGGCTTGGATTATTCTTGGTCTTAGATGGAGGTGAGCAGGAAGCATAAAACTTATGACTCACTGATTTCTTTTTTTTAATATTTATTTTTTAGTTGTATTTGGATGCAATACCTTTATTTTATTTATTTTTATGTGGTGCTGAGGATCGAACCCAGGGCTTTGCACATGCTAGGCGAGCAATCTACCGCTGAGCCACAACCCCAGCCCATGACTCACTGATTTCTAAGACAAAAATAAAATTCATGTATCCATGGCAAATCTTTAGGTAGACTATTAGTGAGATGATCTTTCCTGCCCCCTAAAACACCATGCACTTCCCAGCAATGCTGTATGATTCAATTTCTCAAGCATTCTTCCCCAATTCAGGCCCTTCATGTGAGTTAGTAAAAAGTCTTCATGATAAATAAAGGGAGACACCTGGACAAATAATTTATGTCTCATTCCCATTAGGAGGCCTGCACAAGCCAAGCGTTCCACTGCTTGCCCTCCCTGGATCCCTCCAATCAAACCACATGGATGAATTTTAATGTCCACCAGGATTTCAGAGGGGATAACTTTTGCCTGCCACAGGGATATGATTGAGACAGAGTTCTGGGCTCAATCAATGCTGGATATTCTATCTTCCTCTGCCTGGCCCCCTTCCTTCCATGCTGCCTTGCTTCTGAACTTAAGGACAGAGAACTGGAATCTAGAAAGCCCAAAAGGCCATAAGCCCACGTGAAATGCACAGGAAGAACATGAAGCCAGGTGGGGACAAAAGCAGCAGATGACACAGATGCCTCTGTCCAGTTTTCTGATCCAGGGAGCCTCCTCCCTCGGGGCATGAGCAGGCCCATTTGTCAGAACACATGGACAGAAAGAGGAAGAGCACTGTTCTTGGAGTCATGTAATCTCATTTCAGTTCTCTTCCTCTGCTACCTACTTCCTATGTGACCCTGGCAAGAACTTTCAGCCCAGGTCCTAGCCCCTGTCAAATGTATTTAACAAAATGGATTTGACAGAGGTTCCTAACACATGGAGCTTCTGTGAGGGTAAACCAAAGGCCAGCAACCCCAGCCCTGCTCAGAGAGAGCCCAGGGAGCAGTTTCAGGGCATCCCTTCATCTGGCTGGAGCCTTACTTTCTTCCTCTGTGAGACAGGACGATGATTATGTTCCCAGGCAGAGAGGTGAGGTACAAAGGAAACAAGCAGGTGAAGCACTTGGCCCAGTGCCTGGCCCAGTGCCTGGGTTTCCGCAAAGGCCCTTTTCAGCCACTTTCTAAAGCCCCGCCCCACAGGGGCGCAGCCCTTTCTGTTCTGCACCCATCTTTTCTTTGGAGCCATTCTGTGGGGTTAGAGTTTAATAAATGCAGAGCAGCCTCGCTAGGCGCTTTGTGTGCAGCGCTAGTGAGCCCCAGGGCCTGTGAACCCTCTTTGTTCCTTTCCATCCCAGGGTTGGGCAGGGCAGGGCGACTTGAGCTGCCTGCGAGGGGCCCTCTAGGGCCTGCAGGGGCAGCTATTCAGGAAGTGATGAATGGGTGGCTCAGGGTGTCTGGCTGCTGCCTGTCTTCTCCAGCCTCTCCTGGGATCCAAACAGCGTGAAATGAGCGGGTGGGCTCCTACCAACTAGAGGTACAGATGGGTGAACGAAGGAGGCAGGGGTAGTCTAACCAAGTGTCAATGACTTTTTCAGGGGGCACCGGGGTGGGATGCAGTGAGCATGCGCAGAAGGGGATCCTGTGGGATACATGCCTGCGCATCGCGCACGCGCACATGTCCATCTTACTGAAAGCAGCGGCTAGCAGGTTGGAGATTCCCTCCTCTCCAGGGCTCCCTTCTAACCCTGGGAAAAGTTCTCTATTGGTCCAAACTGTGGGGGCCTTCAAGGGCCAGGCCTTGGTTGAAAGGGACTGGGGATGACAACAGTTTCCAAACTTGACCCTCTTCCTGGGCTGGCTGGTAACTAACTGTACTCCCAACTACGGCCAAAACCAGAATCCCAGTAAAGAGCTAAGCTCATTTTGCAGGCTGGTGCAGAGAACCTAAACCAGTCCACACTTTATAAAGCACCCAGGGCATGGTTCTGACCAAGCACCACTGGAGAGAGGGTGGATCATGAAAGTTTTTGGCGGCTGTTCTCCCCAGCAGCCTGTGTGGCAGTGGCCCTGAGAGGGCTTGGTACTGTTGCAAAAAGGAGGGGAAAAGGAAGCAGCAGGGGTAAGAAATGGTTTTCCATGTCTAATGACATGTCTTTTCTTCCACATTGGTCTGTGGCATAATCAGCTTGGTCCCAGAGGTCCCCTCAAACTTCCTAGAGGCCACTATTACTCACATCCTAAAAGTCCCCAGCTAAGAGAGCCAGGGCCATATCCTTTCTCCACACTTACCTCCCCAGCCACGAAGAATAGAAGTGGTGCCTCCTCCTCTTTGGCTTTGTACTTGGCGATGATCTTCTCAGCTATTGGCTGAATCAGTTGTTTGGCTGCTTCGGATTCTCCATCATCCTCAGAATCTGTGATGGGGGGAAAAAGAAACAACAAACTCTGGCTTGTCACCTACCACCCCAAAGGCCTGGGGAGCTGGAGAAACACCCATCTAAACAGCCTCTGAATGGAAAAGAACCTCCTCTTAGACATAAATATAACTTTCTGTGTGCATGAGTGGGCCTACACACATGCACACACGTATGCATGCACACATACATGTACTAGCAGCAGAGCAGACTTGAACAGAGCTCTACCGTGCAGGGCTCACCAGGAACAACTAGCCTCACTGAGTGACACAATGCCCCAGCCAGAAAATGCTTTTCACTGAATTCTTTTTTTTTTAAGCCTTTTTTTCCTTCTTATTTTTTATACCTTTATTTTATTAATTTATTTGTATGCGATGCTGAGGATCAAACCCAAGGTCTCTCGTGTACAAGGTGAGTGCTCTACCACTGAGCCACAACCCCAGCTCCTTCATTGAATTCTTTAAAAGCTGGGTTTCCTTTAAGCCAGGACCTGAAGTATCTGGTAGTTTTCTTCTCAATCAAAGAACCAGAAGCCATGACCTGGGACCTCCAGCTTCCCAGTGAAAATGGCAGAAGTGGTGGTCCAGTTGAGGTTGAGGACTGTGATTTCTTTAGTGGTTTCATGGTGCTGGGGTGAGGGTACCACAGCTGCTGTGATGCCACCTCCACAGTGAATAGCCAGACTCTTCTGGAAGGGGAAGACTGGCTACATGGGAGAACACAGACTGGAAGTGGCCATGTAGAGGGTCCCAGGGCTCAAGCTGCTGAAACCTGTAGCCAAGAGCAAAGGCAGCCTCCCCAAGTGACAAAAGTAGGCTCCAGTGGTGGAGAGATTCCATTCATACATGCTACACCACATGAAAAGTTTGTGGTGTGCAGAGAGAGCAGGACACACTCTGGATCTCTGTTTAATTTGCTTTGCCTCTCTATGACCCTTTCCACATTGCTGCAGATGGTCCCGAGGTTCCTAATTCTTCCTGGGTTCAGAATTGTTTTCTAACTGGCCACAGATGTTGTGTGTATGCCTGCAGCAGGCCCTTTTCCAAGGCCACCTCTCTCCAGGGGGCACCATCCCCACAACTCAGACCCAGGCTACAAGTCAGTTGGCTTAAGAATTCCTTCAGGTCTGCTTAATGGCTTCCCTCCTGGGAGCCCCTAAACCAGACTTCAGAGAATCGGGAGGATGAGGAATATACTCCCTGACCCTTGGTGAAGCAGATATGGCACATCTCAGCCATGTCCTAATACGGCAGTTCATTGAAGGGGAGCAACAAGTCCTTAGGCCGAGGGGAAGGTGGCTCTTGGCCAGCAGTTGCTTAGTTTGCAAAAGCAACCTGAGTCATCCCAAAAGGCTGCAGAGACCTCACGTGAATGTTTCTCTGCCTCTTGCCCAGGCTGAGCACAGCACCCAAATGAGAGTTGTAGTTGGCTACAGGGAAAAGAGAGAGCCAAGAACACTGCCCTGGGCTGGCTCTAACAGCCTCTGGCTGTTAGCAGTTCCTCAGAGCACAGAGGAACACAGAAGCAGGTGGGAGTGAGCCAGGCTTAAGGGGGGCCCAGCCTCCTGCAGCTGCAGTGCAGACAGCCCCGCCTCTTTCTTAGGGGGTGGGAGTAGGGGCATCCTCCTGGCCTGACCTATTCTGCCCAGCTGGCAGCCCAAGCAGCTAGGGAGGAAAGCACAGCAGCCGTCCTAGACCACCTCCCACAGGGGAAGAGCCATGAATAAATCATTGGGGTCAAAAGCAAGGCTGGTAGGGAGAGACAAAGGCCTGGGCTCAGCCTGGGGCAGCAAAGAGGCTTCAGGGACAGGCACCACCCCCAGTGAGATCCATTCTGGCCCATCTCCCTCTGTCCCGCCACTGAGCTCCATACCTACAAAAAGGACGAGGCAGGGCCCCTCGTTGAGCTGCACAGCGTTGGAGTCAGAGAGCTCCAGCACGGGTTTGGGGTGCCATGGAAACTCCCTGCAGTCCTCATCATTGAGCACCTCCACCCGTCCCTGCCGGGTGATCACCTCCCCCTGTGGGTCCAACACAATGAGCGTGGGGATGCCTGCAAGAGAGAGAGAGAGAGACAGGGTTCACACTAGCTTGGCCACTGGCCTGGGAGAGGAGGTGTATCTGGAGACACAAGATAGTCTCAGAGTTAAGAATCTGGGTCCCCAAGCTGGAAAGCCTCAGGCTGAATCTGGGGTCAGCCACTAAATAGCTACAGAACTCCTGTGGTTCTGCCTGGAACCTCTCCAGAAAACGCTGATAAGTCACTAGTCTATCTGGGCCTCAAGTGTCCTCAGCTGCAATGTGGTAAAGGTGTTGTAGTTCCTACTTTTTCTGGTTCCATCAAGAACATTTAAAGAATTACGCACATGCCCCGGGGAGGAGCTCAGTGGTGGAGTGCTTCCCTGGCACACACAAGGCCCTGGGTTCAACCTCCAGCACCGCAAAACAGAAACAAAAATATTAGTACAGGGTTTTGGCACATCAGAGCAGCTGATCATTGGTAGCATCCTAAAGTGATCCTAATGGCACAGGAGTCCTCCGCACGTGCAGGGAGTCTAAAGCTGACCAAGATGATGTAAGAACTCACACCCGCTCCCACATGGCACCCCTGCCATAGACGCACACGCGGCACTAAGCAACAGATGGAGCAGACTCCTCACACGGGTGGGGATGGGGGGGGGTTGTGCACCACAGTGAGCAGGGGAGGAGCCTTCGGCCAAGGCTGTAGCCACACAAGTGAGGGAGGAAGAGAAGCCATGCTGCCAGCCCTGGCCTTTTGTGGCCCCCACTCTCCAGTCCCAGCCCTGCTACCTGTGGAGGCTCTGATACATGGTCTAAGAGAGACAGTCCCCAGAGGGAGCAGTGCATGGGAGTCTTGGGCTGGAATAAGAAATGCATTGCAGGGGCTCTGGTTGTGGCTCAGTGGAACAGTGCTTGCCTAGCATGTAGGAGGCCCTGGGTTCGAGTCTCAGCACCACATATAAATAATTAAAATAAAGGTCCATTTACAACTAAAATAAATATATGTATATTTTTTAAAAATAAATGTATTGCAGTTCATTGGCAACCACCACCACCACCACCCCCAACCCCCGGCCTAACACATACACAAAGCCTCAAGTGAACACTTAGAGAAAACCCATCCTGAGTTACGATCACCTCTAAGTTTGCCACTACCCCCACCAACCACAGAGTCAGCCTTGGCCCTGTCCTTTGGGGACATGTGTCTCTCCATTGGCAGTTGGTCCCCTCTCCTTTGGAGCTATCCAGGTGCCTCTCCTCCACGGCAGACCAGAGCTTGAATTTTATATGAAAGCCAGAGCAATTTAATATTTATAGATTGCAAAGTATTTGGTCAGTAATTTGCTCCACTGACATTTTACTTCTCTATGGGGGGAACACCGAAGTACCAGAAATGTGGCCTCGATGCTTTGTAACCTGCGGCGGCAGCCAGCCCAGCGGGTATGCAGCGGTGGGCCCATCTTCAAAAGGAATAAACAAAACCATTATGTTCGTAACTATTAGAAGAAGTGGCTGGGTGTGTTAGGGGAGAGGTCCAGAGAGAAATGGGCTCCTGAGGACTGCCATTCCCATCACATCACACACAGACACACAGCGGCTCCTCGGGGACTTTGAAGATGCACTGGTGATGAAGAGGACTCCTGAGCATGAGTCCAGGCATTTCCAGCCTCATACTGTTAGCTGCGCTTTCCCCTCGAGGCTGGGCCCCATGTCAGGTGTGTCTTCATCCCTGGGGATCAGGACCTGGACTTGAGTCAGAGGCCTGAAGGGGGGCCTAGGGCTGTGGGCTACTTGGGGCCAGCCAGCTACAGATGAGTCTTCCACATTGCCACACTGCAATCTCAAAAAAGCTTTGGCTTTTAATCAAGCTAGTGTGTTTCTGAAATCAGGTGGTTATAAGCACTGGGTGACACCAGAGTTATCCACGGCTATGATTAGACACAGCAGCTGGCCAGTTCGCGTAGCCTGCACTCAAGATGCAGAGCTGGTCTGCGGAGCACAGGCAGGCACAGAGAATGGAGAAGGAAGGAGAAAAGGGAAGATTGCTGGTCAAGCAGGCCAATTCCCGGGTCAGAGCCTCAGACTCTCTGAGGGACTATGGTAAGGGGCCTTCTTTGTTATCATAGCCGAAGTCTCTTGGGTCCACACCCATGAGGAACAAAAGCACAGAGCTCCAGCTGGTTCCACCAAGGGCCAGATCCTCTGGGCCTGGGTTTCCCCACCTCTTCCCCTTGGCTATGCACAAGCAAAATCCCCTCTTCATGTTGGTAATTAGAGCACGAAAGCCTGGGTCTATAAACCCTAGACAATGAGGTACACAGGAACAAGACAGTGTCAGGCATGTGACTGTGGTACATAAACAGAAACTCACTCAGTAAAATATCTATAGTCAGATTCTGACCCAGAGAAGCCCCTGTGTTTGGCACGCGGATGGGGAAAAGTCCACGCCCACTGTGCCTGGCTGGTCCCCTTCAACTGACCTCTGGTTTTGGCCCTATAGCCAGAAGAGTGTGCTTTCCTCTGATGCTGAATCAGAGGTCTAGAAAAGGGAACTCGCCTGTATGGATGTCTGCTCTGTGCCAGGCAGGACACAGATGCTACCTCACTTAATAACAGGTGACTGCAGGGAGCACCACTATCCCTGCCTTATGGATAGTCAAGTGGCCTACCACTGTCACCCAGCTAATCAGTGGTCTTGCTGGGACAGGAACCCTGTCTGCCTGTTGCAAAAGCTGCAGTTCTCTGTCAGGCCACTGCCTTTGCTGAGGATTCTTCTAGCACCTGAATGGGGACTCTCCTAACTAGGACCAGGAAGAGCCCCTGTAGAAGCAGCCTCGCGTACCACCTTCTTCCCTCCTGTCTTCCTTCCAAAGCAGTAGGGAAAGAGGCTGAAATTGCTTCTCCATCATGCAGTCCCTGAAGTAGGTTCTCTAAAGTCAAGACTTCTCAAGAGGAAGTAAGACAACACCTCAACAGGAACTTACAAGGAATGGCAAACTTCTAATTGATGGCATTAAACAAAATATCTTCCACACCATCAAGGAGCTCCTTGCAAGGGAATGAAAAATGGACAATTCATTGCTGCTTAGCTAGGGCTTGTTGTTCCCAGCCTGGATGGCTGGAATGTTGAGGGAAATGACAGTTGAGACTCTAAGGAAGATCAGGCAAGTCCTTTAATTTCTTTGAGCCTCATTTCCACAGCTATCAAATGCAGATAATGGCATAATTCTGTCTTAATTGTTGTGGGGAGGAATAAACAAGATTTAAATGTAAAAATATTTCTAGCAGAAGATCATGTATATAGTAAGTGCTCCATTAAGTATTGGCTAAATCAGTTCATTTTTTAAAGCGCCATCTCTAAACTGATGATTTGAGAAGTAGAGGTGTAGAGGACTGGTGCCTTGTTCTACTGAAAGCAAAGAACCCTTAGGCTGGGCTGGGAAAGTTAGCTGAATAACAGAAGAGAGACAATGTCAATACTACAGCAAGAGTCCCAGGAATAGGATGTGAGAGCGATCTGGCTGTGACATCTGTCACCCCATTGATCACCAGGGTTGATTCGGTTGATCTGGCTGGTTAGGTGGGTGTCCCTTTCCTCCCTCACCGCTCCATGTGCATCCCTCCCAAAGCTGTGTACTCAGTCGAAGAGGACGACCTTCCCCTATAGAGGAAGTCAAGGGTATACGAGTAGCTGCGCTTCCCTGCTAGAACCTCCAAACAAGCTCTCAAGAGTCCCAGGAACAGTGATGCCTGTCATGTATGGGGTTGGTGCTCTTTTATTTGTGCCAACTCAAACTTAAGTTTCAGGCTTACGGGCTGGGAATGTGGCTCAGGCGGTAGCACGCTCCTCTGGCATGCGTGCGGCCCGGGTTCAATCCTCAGCACCACATACCAACAAAGATGTTGTGTCCGCCGAGAACTAAAAAATAAATATTAAAAAAAAAATTCTCTGGGGCTGAGGATGTGGCTCAAGTGGTAGCGTGCTCGCCTGGCAAGCGTGCGGCCCGGGTTCGATCCTCAGCACCACATACAAAGAAAGATGTTGTGTCCGCTGAGAACTAAAAAATAAATATTAAAAAATCCTCTCTCTCTCTCTCTCTCTCTCTCTCTCTCTCTCTCTCTCTCCCCCCTCTCTCACTCTCTCTTAAAAAAAATTTAGAAGGAAAAAAAAAAGTTTCAGGCTTAGAACAAACAGGTTATCTTCCTAGAGAGGGCTCAGGTCCAAGCTCCTAGCCTTAGGGAGCTGGGCTGGACCTCAAGCGGTTCCTAAGGAGCCTTCCCATTATCTCCCTCAAATCACAGAGAAGCCTGTAATCCCAGTACTTGGGAAGCTGTGGCAGGAGGATGGAAAGTTTAAGGCCAGCCTCAGCAACTTCATGAGATCCTGTCTCAAAAAATATAAAGGGCTGGGGATGAAGATCAGTGGTAAAACACCTCAGTGTTCAATCCTCAGTACAACCAGGTGCGTGTGGGGGGCGAAACACAAAGAAGGAACAATGAGGCCTATGAAACCAGCTCATTCATTCCTCATGGGAGGAGCCTATTTGTGACTATTTAGAACAATCTTGAAGCTAAGTGTACTGAGACTATTTTTCTATTGCTAAAGAGATAGAGTTTGTGGAGGTGACGGGGCAAAAAAGTTGAAATCATCCGGGACCTTGGGGAGAGGGAGAAAGACACACGGGATTGAAACCCAGGTTTCTTTGCATCTGGATGGCAGCATGACCTGAGGGTACTTGGAATAATTCCCCCAAGATTTCTTGAGGTTCGGAGGAGAAATCAACAGAAAAGAGGATGCTAAGACAGGAAGCATAGGTTAGGGCACATGGCAGGGAAAAATACTATGTGATCATGAAAACAGTCATTATAAAGACTGTAGCAACATGGAAATGGTTTGTAACATATTGTTAAGGAAAAAATGCTACCTGTACATTACAACTGCAAATAAGTACCTATGTGTACTGACAGAGACCAAAAGAACTCAGAAAAGTGGAAACAGTTATGCTAGCAAGGCAGAAGAGTGGGCCAGAT